AGATTTTATTTATTTATTTGACAGAGACAGCGAGAGCAGGAACACAAGCAGGGGGAGTGGGAGAGGGAGAAGCAGGCCTCCCGCCGAGCAGGGAGCCCGATGTGGGACTTGATCCCAGGACCCTGGGATCATGACCTGAGCCGAAGGCAGTCGCTTAACCAACAGAGCCACCCAGGCGCCCTTATCATTCTTATTTTTAAAAAAAGGAAAACTGAAGCCTAAGAGATTATGAAATTTATGAACAGCCACATAGTTCTAAAAAATGACAAATTTGGGACTAAAACTGAGGCCTAATTCCAAAGGCTCTAATATTTCCATTACACCACACCCATTTCTAAACAGAAAATAGGTGTAAAATACACACAGATGTTTATCAGTGAGCCTTCGGGCTTTCACATTAGTCACTCCAAGCCAGATTTCAGGACTGTCTCCAGAGCAATTCAGATGTTCCTAACCAGGAGTACTACATCAAAATCCTTTTCTATGTAAGGCACTGAATAGCTGAAACAAATGTTAATGCACTTATCTGTTTGAAATACAGTCTGTGGTTACATTTCTAAAATAACTTACTATATGTTTTATGGATTATATGTTATACTTATTAACTGAGACTTATATAGTCTAGGTTGCCTCTAGTCAGATTTTGCCTGTAACAGGATGGATTCTATGACTTTCTCTGAATTCTCTCCAATCAGCCAGAAGCTCTCCAACTTTCCATCTTAGAACCCACTCCTGTGAACAATAAACCCACAGTTCTTACCCTCCACACACCCCCACAAAAAAGTTATAGTCGAGACAATTTTAACTATTACCGTCCTACAATTTGTACCTACAGTGTAATTAAATGTAAGACAGAACACAGCAATTAATATAGTAAATTTCTCAGTGGAAGACAACCAGGGTAAGAAAAAAAGAGAAAAACATATGTAGGAAAAATTTATTAAAAGACCGTGATTATATGTAGCATGAGTAAAAGCAGTGCAAGGTGAGATGATTAAATGACAGGGACAGTGAATGCAAAGGGAATAGGGAGAGAGAATTTGTGGGTGTACAGGAATTAGTGAGTGGTAAGTTAATACTCTATATAAAATAGAGCACCATTTGATAAAATATTATTTACTTACACTTTAAATTCATTTTGGTGGTAAAGAGATGAAACTGTTTCACTCTATAAAACCTGATAAAAACACATACACACACACACAACTGGCTGTATACTGTAATACCACAAGTAAGTCCTTCTAAAGAGGTTACTACAAAAACGCAGTCTTGTTATAAGATAAACCTGTGGTAGATAAGATGGCAGTAAGGCTAGTTACTGTTGATTAACTTTTGCAGCTACTCAATGAAGACACTGAAAAGTCTGTTTTAAATTTGTAACCCTAGTCTTCATTTAGCATTTCATTTTCAAATTCTGCAAAAAATTAGGATGTTTGGCCATCAGATACTAACATGGAGCTGAAAAAGTTTTAAACTGTTTCATGAAATGTGAACATTTAACCTCAGGTAAAGTACTGGAAAAATTCCACTTTCCATTAAATGGGGGTAAAAAAAAGACACTGAGAAAATCCATCCTAATAGTGGCATAGTATAAAATATGAGATCAGAGATTCTGGCAATAAAATAATTTACATATAGTATACCCCAAATATCGTTCCTTAGATTTAAATATTTATAGCATTATTAGGGCACTCAGTAAATAAAGCAATCACAAATTTTTCCTATGGCTAATCACATTAGATTTAAAATATTCTCTATTTTTATTTCTGTAGAATATATCTTAAATAGTGCCCCACCAGTGCTTTGACTAATAACAGGGGTTTTGTTTGTTTTGTTTTGTGATTTTGCTTTGAGTGGCAAACTGATAAATTGATAGAGGCAAATGTAAATAAAGTAAATTATAATATATTGCATATGAAAGTTTAAAAATAAAATTAGTCTAACAGTTTTGCAGCAAAAGAAAAATAAGACACAAAACAGGTTAATTTGTCCATATGGAATGTATGTGTTTAAAACTGTATTCTATTTTGTGGGGTATATCCTGAGCATTTAAGAAAGCAGCAACGAAAGTTATACTTGTCAAAGAGCCCCTGGTTCACATGCCAGGATTCAAGGCAGAATTTATATATAAATTTATAAATTCTCTGCATTAAATTCTTTCCTGATATTAGTTTACCCATAGCTGTAGTTTAAAAGAAAATAAACTTGCTTTAGGAATATTTCTAATTAACCCAGAGCTGTGAGATCTCAAAGAATTATTCAGAAATAGATTCTTAGTCAATTCACAGACTTGTCGAGACCTCTGACAGTTTTCGAGGACTAGACTAGGTTTATATAACTCATTCTTTGCTTACACCTATCAGCATTTAACCCTCAAATACCAAGTAATTTGTGTGTGTTGTGTATATAAACTTTAATATTAAAACAATGGAAAAGTGTAATAGCAATCAACTCATTATCACTTTATACACTGAATTTAGTAATTTTGTTAATTCTAAAGCATTTTTTTAAAAAAGGACTATAAAATGTCAAATAGCAGACATCTAAGAGCAAATAATAAAGGATAAAGAACAGAAAGTAGTAATTATTTTCTACCTTCCCTCAACGTTATGAAATTTGAAAAGAAATGGAAAAGAAAAAGATACACTGCAAAATGTCTTCTTTAAGTTAACAAATAAAAAGAAATGAGACTGACAGTCACTGACAAACAGTACATCTTTCAGCATGTTCTTTCTCCTCAGGCTATATAATGATAGAAGCAAAGTAGAAGAATTAGGTTTGTGCATTTTCCCAGAGAAAAAATTCAAATGAGTGGAAGAAACTGGGGAGGTATCCCACCTAATTGATAAGGAAGACCAAATACCTTTGTGCTTGTCCCGTTTATGCTTTAGCTGAGCTGGATGGGATCTGAGTCTGGCTAGAGCCTGTTCTCGATGGTTCATAAAAATAGGACCAGCAAATACAAGGGGGCCTGAGGAGAAACATTTTGTATGTGCATAGAAAAGCTCACAAAATGAAAACACTACAATGAATAAAAATAATTCAAACTAAAAAGCATGGAAATTTATTCTTTACTGTTTTAGACATTATACTTTTCCCCCAGTTCCCCCACGTTAATCTCCCACCCCCATTCCACACACAAGTTTTAATATCTGAACTATAGGTGATAAAGTAAAATTTCTTTTAACTCATAAAATTATCACATAGTTACTAACAGTCTCAAGTACATAATCAGAAAGTTCAATTAAAACAAATCATCTTACAAATATTTTTAATATCATATATATTCAAACTTAGTAAACCATTAATAGAAAACAATATATTTCCTATTAAAATAACAAAATAATTTTTAAATTAATAATTAAATTTTAACAAGGTCTTCAAGATTTAATATCCACATCAGTCTTGCTACAAAACCAAGATAAATGTTATTGACTCAACTACATTCTGCCATACAGGTAGGAAAACAAGACAGCAAAAAACAAAACAAAACCAAAAATTACTATGATATGATGTATACATATACACATATGGACACACATTCATGGACATGAATATATATAAAATCACTACGAGGACAGGATTATAGAAGTTGTATTTAATTTTCTAAAAAGAATAAATCTAAGTTTAAATGTGATTTCTGTAACAACATATACAAAATCAGAAACAAGGCATTGATACTGAAGAGGGTAATCTAACCCAAGTAACATTTTTGGAACATTAACAATTCTCTGATAAAATAATTTCTTTCTGAAGCTCCACTATGTACATACACACACATATACAAATGCACATTCATACAGATTACAGTTATTTCCACTTATATTCAAGAAAAAAATCAATAGCAAAATTAATTTCAATAAAAATTATAATTTGCTTTTCTCTACTATCATTTAGCTTAAAAAGGGAAAACTTTAAGTTATATCTTAAAATTTCAGTTCTTTTCTTATAGAATTGAACTATCCTTTCCTTGAGTTTGAGCAACATCAAAAATGCCTGCAAATTTCAAAACACTCTAAATCTGACATTAAGAAGTTACCAAATTTGAAACGGGAATTGACAGTACATAAGCACTGAATGTTTTTAATTAAAGCCAGTTTTTTCATGATTCTCTATATCTCTTCAGCTATAATTAATTTTTCTAACAATGGAACAAAATAAAACTACTGCCCTATAATAAAATTTGACAAATGCAAATTCAACACCAAAGTACCCTTCATTAAATATTAAAAAATGGGTAGGAAAAACATATTTTAATTATGTCTTGAGATATAAATAAAAAATGCAGGCATCACCAATTCTATGAAAAACCAAGAATAACATATTCTATGATTACTACAGATAGAAATATGCTAATTTAAAGTTAACAGAAAAATTAAATATTATTTCCTAGTAATGCAGTAGCAATTATTTTCAAGCTAAGATTAGATAAATATGAACAAAATGTCTTATTTCTTCAACATGTATTTTTTTTCAATTAATATAAACCACTCTAAAAAGCATGAGACACTTTCCAACTACCCCAAAGAACTATAAATATCAAAATAACAGTAATATTAAGTTACAGTACCCTTTTTCTGATTTCTATGGTCTGCCTGGGATATTATTTCTTCCTATAAAAATATTACACCCATAATATTCATAGTTATTTAGCTTCTCACTAAATTCAATCTTTTTAGGGTCTCTTGATATAAAAATTTAGAAGGCCCACAGGCAATCATGCCTAGAAAGTATACCATCTGAGCTCAATTGAAATCACCACTTATATCAGGCTATCAGGTTCTAAAATAGTAATGTCCCATGGACTAAAACAATTTTTCTTATAAACATAGTTCAGTCATTCACTTTTTTGCCATTTTTTATCTTTAATGTAACAGATACCAGGTACATGTATATTATGACAAAGACACAGATCTCATTAGAATTTAGTCCAATAGGGAAGATAGAAATAAAACAACTAAGAGTTGCAATATGTTGTGATAAATGTTATAAAGGAAATCTGTACACACCCTGAAGGATGAAAAGTGATCTATCTACTTGGGTGAAAGAATGAGAAAAAGTTTGCCGAGAGAAAGAAGGAAAGAGAGGGCATTCCAGGCAAAAGAAACAGGATTTATAAAAGCAAGCAGAGATTAAACAATATTGTATAGTCATTAAAAACACACATAATAGCCGAAATGGATGGAGTGCAGGGTTATGAAGCAGAAAGTGACAGGAAATGAGTCTGGAGCTACATATGAAAAACAGGTAATTACAATCTTTTTCTACCATGAAACTTTATTGTAGAGGTGTTGAGACATCCATGAAATGTTTTCAATTAGTCAACAAAGACATATTAAGTACTGACCAATTTCAGGCACTACACTTGGTCCTGGGAACTCTTGGAAAAACAAGACACCATCTCTGCTTTCAGAAGCTCACAGTCTAATGTGGGGAGGGGAGGCAGGGAGAGTTTACACACAACTCAACAAGAAATTTGACTGTGTGCTATGAGAAAATTAAGCACACTGAAGGGGCAGCCAGCAAACCTTAAGAGTGGGAATGTAGGGAGTTTTGGGGTACAAGAAGAGAAAATACCACATAAGCTAAGACTTAAAGAGGTAGTAGTACTACAAAGGTTCACAGATATGGGGGGAAAAAAACAGGCATAGGGAACAGGAAAAAGTAAAAAGAGATGAGGCTGAAGAGAGATTTTTTTTTAGATCTATTTATTTATTTGAGGGAGAGAGAGAGAGCATGAGCACATGAGCAGGGGGAGGGGCAGAGAGAGAGGGACAGGGAAAGAGACTCTCAAACAGACTTCCCAATGAGTGCTAACCTGATGCAGGGCTCAATCCCACAACCCTGAGATCATGACCTGGTCCGAAATCAAGAGTCAGATGCTTAACTGACTGAGCCACCCAAGCGCCCCAAGAAATCTAAATCTTTATGTGGGTTTTTTACACAGAAAATGCTTTTGTGCTATTTAAATCAGCAATGAGATAACACTTCATCATGTTTTATAAAAATTAAGAAGAACAATACATATGATGCTAGAAGAAAACATCACTCTCAGATATTAGTCTGGAGAAGATAAACTCCTGTAACATTTCAAAAACAATTTGAAATCTGTTAAAATTTAAAACATAAACACTCTCTGGCCCAGATATTCTATTTCTCCGAAGCTCTACTATATAAACAAAAACTCCAATATGGCTATAAGTTTAAAAATATTTATTGTAGAAAAACCCACAAAAACTTGAAAATAACCTAAATGTCCATCAACAAAATAATAGTTGAATAAACTGCAGTACAGCCACATTACCATATACTATATAGCTCTTAAATATAATGTAGTAGACCAATATTTACTAATTTAGTGTGTCTTCATGATGTAAAATGAGAAAAAGATGCTGCAAAGAACTGTATCTCTAATACAGTGCCACTTGTGTAAATAAACACTTGCCTATACTTTCACACATGGGTAGATATCAGCATAGTAGATATATGTGTAGATATATTATAATGGAGTAAGATATGGAAGTATACCCATTCGATTAAACCTCATTTGCTTGGTAGAAAGAATGGGAAGGTTAGGAAAAAAATTTAAGCAAGATAAAAAAAAATGTATATACTATCACATTAACCAAATACGTAAAACAAAACTGTCAGTGATACAACTCGAAATGTATAAAACTTGATTAGAAAATAAAGAGAATCCCCATATTACTTTAAAACGGCACTGCAATAAAGCACAAAATTTTTTTTCTGATATTACATTGCATGTAATCCTCATTTTAAAGGTTCAGAAAAGGGAGGTTCAGAGTGGTTAAATTCCAGGATCATACATCCCCAGTAAAAGTTAAGAAGCCAGGGTCTGAACCAAAGCCTAACTTCGGAAGCTATGCTCTGACCGCCATGCCACATAGCTTCGCCAACCACAGAACCTATCATCCGAGTGAAACTACTGAGAGGAAAAGGGCCTGGACAGTCAACATAAAATGCGACTTCCCAGGCAAGCCAGGACATAAGCTCACGGCCATCTACCGCTCCCAATTATGAAAGTTTGATGACATTTAGGGGAAAAGAAAGAAAAGCAGCCAACATTATTTGAGCTTAGTTCTCCTTACAAGAGAGCACTGAAAGGGAATACAAAGATAAGATCATTGACACAATCACCCAGTAGTTCTGAGGAGTTAAGAGAGTTCTACTTAAAAATTCCACTGAACAAGCAATTCACCTACAAAGTTAACAGAAGACTCAGAGAATTTAAACATCAACCAACCCTGTATTGCCTAAAAAGCTAAAATTTATCACAAATGTCACTGAAATAAAATATGTAAATGAATACACTGGTACCTAAGAATATACATTTAAGAAAAACATTACCTAAAAGAATAATATAAAAAATTTAAAGACTAAGTGCCAAATTAATAAAAATGCGGTAATAACACTGTTCTTTCAGGTTTCAACAGCACATTCCATTATATAAGTCTGTGTCATAAACAGCTGCAGCTAAATTACATCAATAGGCCTGAGGCTGAGCAAAGCTTTAATACAAGGACTAGGTCCTAAAATTCTGATCAACTTTGAAACAACACAAACTTGATAAATAGGATGAGACAGATAAATCAAGTAAAATAATTTGATACAATCTAATCCTGAAGTTCTGAAATTTCAACAGAGGTAAAAGCCAATTATTAATGAGTGTAATTACTAACTTATCACTAAATTGTTAATAACTAAGAAGTACCAAGAAGAGGCTAAGAAAAAAAATACAGGTATGTGTGGCAGTTGGAATACTAAAAATTTATTTTATTTTGTTTTGTCTTCCTCATTAAGACAAAACAAGACAAACAATTCTCCCTAGCTCTTTAGCAGAAGGCAGAAATTCGGATGCAGGCCCAGGTATTCTGCTGTAAAAGGTGCATGGAAGCAACTCTGAACATCCCTGCCCGGGAGCAGCCGTTCTCACACTTTAGCACCACCAGAGTTACCTGGTAGGCTTGTTCAAACACAGTTTGCTGGGCTCTGCTCCCTGAATTTCTGATTCAGAGGGTCTGAGGTAGGGCCTGAGAACAGGCAACTGTAACAAGTGCTCATGATGCTGGTCCCTTTGAGACCACTTTGAGAACCACTGTCCTACCATAATGAAAAGCGCAGTACTTAAAAGGCATTCCTCCATCCAATTAACATAAAAATATTTTTTAAAAAGCAAAGGTAAAGTACAAATGCCTTAGAACTAGTCTTTATTTTTTCAAGAAACAATGACTTAAGTTTTAATTTAAAAACATAACTCTTATTTTGTTTATAAAGTAATACACATATTGGAGATTATTTAAAAACATTATAAAGAACAAAATAAAAATCACCTATAAACTCACTTTTCAGGAAAAATCACTACTAACATTTTGGTATTTACCTTTCTAGTTTTTTCCCTATGCAAGTGTGGATATATCTCTGTGTATATTTTATTTTGTTTTCTTATAAAATTGCTAGCAATGGAGTACTGGGAAAGAATATAAAGATACTATCATAAAAGTGTCATATCACCATACTGGTTTTCAATTATTTAATATGGTATAAGAATTTCCTAAAGTCATTGAATAAGAATCTGCAGTCTGACTTTTAAAAATGGGTACACAGTTAAAATTCTTATTTAGAAGTATTTTTACAAAACAAAATGTACAAACAGGCTTCTCTTTGCATTGTACTGTGTTAAATGAAACACATGCATACTGTAACATGTCCTCACTGCACAATTCCATAGTAATGATGGCGATTGTGCAAAGCAAGGACATGGTTCTAATATGCACAAATTTCAGTATCACATAAGGTAACGAATGCCATAATTAAGGTCCATAATGAAGATCCTAACTCATCAAGAAAAGATATTTACTACATATTTTACTATATACTGTGTTTAAACAAAAATGAAAAAATTGTGTAAGAAAGAGCTCAACCAAAAAATAAAGACAAGACAAAATTTCTGTGCACCAATAATCTTTCTATATATTGAGGACAGAGGATGAAACGGACTTGTCAGAAAATATACACCAACTGCCTAGAACATAAGTCTGTGTTTATAAAATCAGATACAGTAATAAAATCTCTGTAAATATTTAAATAATGGAGTTTTTTAAACCTTTGAAAGGCTAGAGTTTATATTTTTAAGGTCTATGACACATTTTAAAATAAATGGCAAAAGAATATTCTGCAATCACAAAATTTTGTTGAACTAGTGCATAATCAATGTTCTTTTACTTTTGATATGCAGAAACATACTACAGCTAGAGAAAAAAAGCTTTTTTACAGAGGGAGAAAAAAACTAACAAAACACGCAGAGCAAGCAATTACATGTCATCATAAGGATTTGCTATACTTTGCTTGAAACATAAGAAATTGCTGTTTTTTGTAGGTCAATTCATATGATTCAACCCAATATTTCCCAAAAGAGAAAAAACAGGTAGTAAAAAGATGCACTGATAATTATCCTTAAACAAATCATATTAAAAGAAACTGTCACTCAATTACCATTTGTCATAAAGACCTAGAACTTAAATTTTACCCTATTTTCTATAAAACATTTAATATGCAATTTTCCCATATTTATATAATGTAAACAATGACAGTATCTACATTCTCATTAAAATAAACCACTTTTAAACATAATGATTTTATGTAAACATAGCCAGCTAACAGCAAATATTCCTATATCAATTAATCAGATTGTTTATCAGATCCTATAAAGAACAATCTTCAAGTTCCAAGCATATGTTTTACAACTTAAGTTTAATAAAAATAGAATTTACCAAACATGCTATATATTTTATGACTTACTCCATTTTACATTAAAAAAAAGTACCTAGAAAAAATTTGTAATGGTGGTTAAATGGATAATAGATTTTATTTCATTTATCAAGTCTCATGTCATTTCTAACAAGCATTTAAAATATGCACTATCAGTAAATATTTCCAATCAAGGTTTTGCCTGGCAGAGGAATAAAATCACAGATCTCTTTAACCATCTGTCTTAATCCTACAAAGAAAAGATTCTACTGGGCAACAACAGCTTTAGTAATATTTATATTTATCTCTGCTACTGGATGTATATTAAAATATCTATATTTTACTATCTGCTTATAACCACAGTGAAATGTATTTTCAGGCTGAGAAACGGTCATAAACAATGAGGAAAAGAGAAACAATACACCTATCTTTGCAATTAAAACCTGCAAAACTCTCCAACTTACCCTTCTTGTATATAACCAGAATAAGCTTTTTTGGGGGGGAAAAAAAAAAAGAAGACATATAAAAACATAATTATGCACTGGATTGAAAGAAGAATGCTGGGACCGTGCTCAAATGGAAATGATCATAGATGACTAAGAAAACAGAAATTAAAATACTATATTAAACTAATTTGTTGTTTATGGTTAAATAACAACCACGAGTCCAAAATCTGGGAGAAAGACCAGTTCTTAGAATTCATATTTATGTATTTTTTTAAGTTGCCATTGCTAATAGCTTTTGATGCTGGCAGATGGCATAATTCTTAATATGCCTGACTTACTATATAAACACCCTACTCTACTAAATTAAGTCTAAGTTAATAGCACAAATGTAAATACTCTGAATATTTTCACATGATTTTCATATGTTACTATAATGTTACTAATTTTAATTGCAATGTCTTACCAAGTCAGCCTATTCTGTAAACTTTCAGTGGTCTCAGTATAGGATAAGAAAATGGATTTTCATATACTTTTTCTCTGCAGCTACATCTTACCTCTTCCTTCCTCTAATCTGTGTCTCCTGATTACACGTTGTCGTTTTTCTTCTTGTCGTAACTGAAGGTGTTCTTCAATGTTAACCCCAGGTACTGGGACAGCTAGATGATTGACCAAAAAAAAAAAAAAAAAAAAAAAACCACAAAGAAACACACAAAAAAAACATATATAGATAGATACAATAATAGATATGAAAGAACTATATGAAATTCAAGAAAGTAAAAGCTAACAAAACACTGATGAAAACACAAATTATTTTTACTCGAAGAATCTTAGCAAAAAAGAGAAAAAGAGCCTTACCCTTTAATTAGTGACACACTATCAGCTACCATATACGCAGTACTGCATAGTTAACTATTAATTTTTTTAGCACATACTAATATAAATTACTGAGCTGAGGACAAGATGTGTAGTACAATCCATCACATTACCTAACAGAAGATCTAAAGGTATCATCTCCTTCACTGCATCAAGAATTCCTCTTTGTCTTGCCTCCTGACCATCCAACTCTCTTGCACAAGCCTTGCAACACCCACACACGGCACAGCCAGATTCTCCGGAACCACAACCACAGATCCTTAAAAAATAAAAATAATTAACTGAAATGCTTCTACTCTTTCCCTAAAACTCTTTTCTATAATGTCTTTTCAGGATTTCTGAAATTAAGTTATATGAGTTAGCAATGAAATCATCCCTTCAGATCAGCACGTGCCAATTTTAAAGCATCGAATAGGTATGAATAGATGGAATAACTAAAAACAAGAGTTTATTAAGCTCCTCATAGGTATAATTGGTATATTTCTACAGAAAATACAAATGGATTCTGCCATCCTCAAAACCACTATTAACAAATATTTTAAAAGGTATCACAATTAGTAAAGCACCAGCAGCTTACTATTAAATGGTCTGAGTGGGTTAGTCAATTACCAAACAAACACTGTTCTCCACCAGCTAACTTAAAGGTGTGCATAGCCATCAGTAAGTGAGCTCAGCTTGCCAGCTTCATAGGTTATGTCTCCTTTTCTCTCTCTCGTTTATATGCCATGATCTCTCATTCTCTCCTTCCACTGGGTCCAACTGCCTGTTCCTTTTCCTCTTCTTTGTCCTGTTCTTATCAGTTGTGAACTAAGTGTATGCCACTGGATTACAACTGAGGACAAGAACACTCCCAGAAGTTGCCTACAGGGTCAGTGAACAACTAACTTCTTAGTCACCTATTTCGTGGATGTAGATAGAAGTCACAGCTTTAATGTTATTGCTGGATCGGAACTGAAAACCTTCAGACAGCTTCACTGAGCCTGCGGTTATCCAGATTTGTGGTGGTACAAGAGAAAGGATCCCCCTGGCAGCAGTTTTGAAAGACATAGCTAGGTACCCTGTGAAACTCCTGGGTTTAAAATGCAAGCATTATTGACAATTTGGAAGATCACTAACTATAGAAGTAAAAACTGATAAACTAATATGCCCTACTACATTGTCTATACGCACTATTTAAAAGATAATGTGGCATTCTAAATTTATTCTAAGATATGTAGCCACAATTCTATAATAATTGAAGTCATTTTTAATAGTGCAGAGTGTCCTGGCATATAGTCTTATGTTAATTTTATTCATTTATTCATTTTTGCCTCATTAATAAGGAAGTTACTATATTTGGTTAGGTACTGTCCATTTAGGTCTATAGGTTTAAGTTATAAATAATTACTGGAAACTGATAGTAGATCTCTGGGGAAAAGCACATAAAGAATAATTTTAGGAAGGATCAGAGAATTCAGAAATTCATTTATGATACTTACCAACTGCTTAAGTTCAGAGAAAACTTACTGTTAAAAAATCACAATATTTCAATAGCCTAAAAGAAAAGGCCTGTTATAAATGATTTATTTTCATATGTTAGGCCAAGTATCAAATTCTCCCCAACATTCAAGGGGAAAACTTGCATTCTGATTCTGCCAAACTCACATATAAAGTTTAAAGTAATGATAACATGGGACCCCAAAGGGGAAAAAAAAGGTCCAACAAAAGCAAAAGAGGATAAATATAAACAAGTATAATGCAACTTTAGAAGTAATAGTTCGTAGAACACCTAAAATTGTGAACATAAATTTAATTTATAAGAAAATTATATGTCTTTAATCGAGTATTTTATATGATATTTGATAATTCCATCCAGAAAAGATTAATGTTCAACAAAAATGAATAGATATTTGGCATTAAAACAGTCTTAGGAAAAGAACACAAATTAAGGTAGAGCCCCAAGACTTTAAGAAATTTATGACTTGTTTTTATTTATTTTTTTAAAGATTTTATTTATTTATTTGAGAGACAGCAAGAGAGATCACAAGCAGGAGGGAGAAGCAGACTCCCCGCTGAGCAGGGAGCCTGATGAGGGGCTCAATCCCAGGACCTTGGGATCATGACCTGAGCCGAAGGCAGATGCTTGACTGAGCCACCCAGGTGCCCCTACGACTTGTTTTTTTGTTTGTTTTCCATATTTTTTCTTTTTTTTTAAATTTTATTATGTTAGTCACCATACATTACATCATTAGTTTTTGATGTAGTGTTCCATGATTCATTGTTTGCGTATAACACCCAGTGAGCGCTCCATTCAATATGTGCCCTCTTTAATACCCATCACCAGGCTAACCCATCCCCCCACCCCCCTCCCCTCTAGAACCCTCAGTTTGTTTCTTGACTTGTTTTTAAATAATGGTTTAAATGAATCAAATGAAAGAAAAGCAACTTAAATAAAATTGACACTAAATTAGAAATTATTATAACAGAAAACAATTATTAGAATTACATGTATATGCCAATATGCCCTCAAGAAACAACAAAGTAGAATACGCTCTGGAATAATTTTGAAAAGAAATGTGTTGTGCACCTTTTCTACTAGTATCTTATTTCTTCAGTATTAATCATGTTCTTACCCTCCAGGGACTCTGTCCGGACGCCCACTACTGACACAACTGGCTCCATAACCCGTACAGTCTCCACAGACAGTACACACCATGCACTGCTCCAGCTTCCATTTATGCATGCCTGGAGGGCACATCATGGACTTCTCATCTTTTTCATCCAGTTCTTCTTCCAGGTCTTCATCCATTGCTGTTGCCATATTTTCAACTCCAAACCCTATTTGACAGATCAACTTGTAACTTTTATGTAGATTATTCCTATGTCAAAAAAACTGGTAAAATTATGTAACATACTAATCAAAGTGAATATACAATGTAATGCTAAAATATAAGAGCAACAAAAATAAAATTTAATATAGGAACCACAAATAAATGCTCTCATTTCCTTTCTGCAAAAAGAGGGAAGGCAGGAACACCTCTTAGCTATTACTTTCTGCCAATCATACTTTTAATTTTTGTTGGTTTTAGTCCTTCATTTCCATCCTCAGTGCCAACACTGTCATTCAACAAACCGAAGAATGTCTCCCAACCATGCTCTAAGCCATGAGTCCCTCCCCTCTAGAACATCTTCCCATCACTAGCAACTGCCAAAAATTTATAAAAGAAAAATAATGAAAAACTTGTCACCAAAGTTTAGAAATTACATACACAAATGAAATCATAAGTAAATGTAAAGGATAAGCTAGTTAGTCAAAGATATGTGTAACACATACAACATAATATATCAAAAGTTCCTACAAATCAGTAAGAAGGCAAGAAAACTAAGAAGTTTGAAGAGATGGTCTAACATACTACTAATGGTCAGGGAATGCAAATTAAAAGAAAAATGAGGGACCCAGCCATTCTACTCCTAGTTATATGCCTAAAAGAAAAGCATACAACTTTCCACCAACATTCACTAGAAATGGTCATAGCAACTCTATTTATAATAACCAAAACTAGAAACTACCCAAATGTCCATAATACTTGAAAAGATTCCCAAACTGTGGTACATTCACACAACTGATTACTATACAATGAGAATGAATAATCTATAAATACTTGTAACAATATAAATGAAACTCATAAAGTTGAGTGAAAAGAAACTAGACATAAAAGAGTTCATGTGACATAATTCCATATATATGAAGTACAAAAGTACGTAAAACTAATTTACGGTGTTAACTAGAGAGGTAGGCAGTAACTGGAGAGGAACATAAAGGGGGCTTCCTGGGGTGCTGGTAATACACTGTTTCTTGATCAAGGTGCCAATTACAGGAATGTGTTCAGCTTGTGAAAACTGACCAAGAGCTACACTTATGCTATGTGTATTTGGCCACATGTTTTACTTCAATATGACAAATAAATTATAATGAACTATAATGTCATTACCATCAAACTGACAAAAATCTGAGTATTGATACTACCTCCTGGATGATGTGGAAAGTCAAAGATACAACCTCTTCTAAGAAAAATCTAGCAAAGCTGCAATCTACAACACCAGAAATTATACTAGAGAGAGTCTCACATATGTTTGCCAGGAAACATGGGTAAAGGAGGATTTGAAATTATTGATGAGTGAAAAATTGGAAATAAACTCATCTATCAGCTTGAGAATGGATAAATGGTGGTATGTTAGTGGTATGGTTTTTTACACAGCAGTTACCATGAATCATTTAGATTTGTATGTACCAACATGGACATATTTTAAGCACAATGGTGAGACCAAAAAAAAACCTAATTTGCAGAAAAATACAGATTAGCACTTATAAAAGTATCTTATTTTTATGTATAATATATGAGTATGTAACATATTTTACATATAAAATATGTAAGAACAAATTAAAAAAAACAGAAATATGACTGAGAATCAAACTCATGATTGTGGTTGGTTTTGGAGAGAGAGGGAGTATAAATAATAAACCTTGGAAGGAGAACACAGGACACCTGCACCTTATCCACAATTTATTTTTACTGAAAAATAAGGCATGTGATACACAATTTTTTCATATTATAATTTAATTTTCTGTACTTTTCTTTGTTTTTCTAAAATTTAAAATTAAAAAATCCTTTTATGTTCTTTATGACTCTACAATCTGTATTCATTACATGTCTTACACTTCTTCTCTGTTTCCTAATTCATTACTTACTAGCAGAGGAGGTATGATTTTTTTATTAAGTAAAAAATCTTTTAACAACTTTATTTTGGTTATTACAAAATTTATAGTAATAATCTAGAACATAGGTATAAATGTATGATAAATTTTCACAAGAGTTTTACAATAATAAGGAAACAATTCTGTTGAGTTCAAAACTTTAATATAACAATCTGAATATATATTTATATTATATATAGAAAACTAAACGGCTTCTCTCCTTTTGCCTAGTAGGCATTATCCAAAACTATGGTTCACTAGTTTAGCAAGAAGAAAAAATAGTTCCATTTTGGAGTAATCCATTTCTTTTCTTTCTTCTGTTCTTCCTTCTTTTTTAAAATCAATGTGCTCTAACAGACTTGCTCTTTCAAAAACTAAAGTATCTTAAGTACATGCACATATAAATAAGGTACTAAAAACTCTTTGATATCCAGATGAGTCTGCCATCAAAAAGATCCCCAAAGAGCTAAACTTGTTTTTGTTAATATATACAAATATTAATCCTCAAACTCTTTTGTACTTTTTTTTTAAAAAGATTTTATTTATTTATTTGAGAGAGAGAGCTGCAAGCAGGGGGAAGGGCAGAAGGAGAGGGAGAGGGAGAGAGAATCTCAAGCAGACTCCACACTGAGCCTGACATGGGGCTTGATCTCACGACCCTGAGATCATGACCTGAACCAAAGAGTCGGACGCTTAACCAGCTGAGCCACCCAGGGGCCCCAAGCCTCTTCTGTACTTTAAACACAGTTCATTGCTTAATTCTATTTCCTATTCTCTAGCCCACACAAAGTTAAAACAGAAAACCAGCAACTGGAATGAAGGGTATAGGATAGCAATGACAGCAGCAGAAGTAAGAGCTGAGAGCAAGAATGAAGTGACCAAAACCAAAACAAAAAAACCCACAAGCATGGGGCGCCTCGGTGGCTCAGTTGGTTAAGCGGCTTCCTTCGGCTCAGGTCATGATCCTGGAGTCCCGGGATCGAGTCCCGCATCGAGTCCCGCATCGGGCTCCCTGCTCAGCAAGGAACCTGCTTCTCCCTCTGACCCTCCCCCCTCTCATGTGCTCTCTCTCATTCTCTCTCTCAAATAAATAAATAAAATCTTTAAAAAAAAAAAACCCACAAGCATGACAAAGGATAAATCCCTCTTCCTATCAATAGCCTGAGTATTAGGGCAAAGCAGTAAGGTGCATCTATAATTTAGCTCTTCGTAAAAGGCCAAGGATTCTTAAGAATCATTTTTAGTTGTCGGAATGGGTGAAATTACAGGCAGCCTGTGCTATTAAACAGGAAGATAATATTTCCCAGAGAGGCTGCTGCCAAAATAGTTAAAACTGAAAATGTGTGGTGTAAAAGGAACTAATAATGAAGAGTTTGAAAAATGCACTTTTCTAGAATAATTTAGTCACTCAAAATGCTAAATCAAAGAGGTGTTATCATATTTTATATAAAATTTTTAAAAATTGGGGCGCCTGGCTGGCTCAGTCAAGAGAGCATGTGACTCTGGATCTTGGGGTCATGAGTTTGAGCCCCATGTCGGATATAGAGATTACTTAAATAAATAAACCTTAAAAGAAAAAAAAGAAAGAAAAACACTCAAGTTCATTTGCTCAAAAATTAAAAGTCTAAAGTATATTCAATTGTTTCAGTTATATCATATCAAAAAGATATGAAATTCAGTGGTTTTCCTATTTTATAAGTATGATATTAAAGAGCCACTTGTTTTGAAAAGAGTAAGATTAGTCCCCAAGTTATTCTAAAAAACTTAATGAAAAAAAAGATGACACAAAATTTAATATCCACATGTCCAACACCTACCTTTCCCCCCTTGGTTCATGGCACCAGTGTCTCGTCCACACTGTCCTTTATTATTTACACCAAATGTCCAAACTTCTCCATTCTTCATTAAAACACAAGTATGAGCTTTGCCCATAGCCACCTGAGTTACAAAATGGCCCTTCAAATCTGTTACCAAGCCTATAAGGACAAATACAAATTTGGTAAGGAACAACAATAAAACCTTACTGAGTCTAGTAAATCTTCAGTATTGTAAAAGGACCACCTCAACGCAGAACTTTTTATTTCTGGGATAAAATAACCCACCAAAATGAGAAATAAGTGGGCAAAAGACTGGCAGGGTATCAGTAAATTAATTTTTTAAGTTTGTGATGAAGTCCCAAAATCTTAAAACATTATCATCCAGACTTGGGACAAATTTTTACTGTGGCCATTGGCTCAAGTCTGCGTCTCCTGAATGTTTGCTTTAAATGTCGACACTCTCAACAATTCTCAGAAGGGTCACTAATTCTCAGACTTTCCTGGTCCAAGCACAAAGGAGCCTATAAATCATGTACTTCACCTACTTTGACTTGCCTTAAAAAGGAATGAAGGAGGGCACGTGATGTAATGAGCACTAGGTGTAAGACTGATGAATCACTGAACTCTACCTCTGAATCTAGTAATACACTATATGTAAATTAAAATTAAAAAAATAAAAGGGATTGACAAACACAACAAAATACTTCCTGCAGTATACTGAAATCCCATTGTTTCTGTAGAAACCTGTGAGATGTTCCAAAGCAGCATTTTTCAATCCTTTTTAACCTGCAGTGCTTTCTTCCACAATCCAATAGCTAACTAGTTTAGCCAGTTCCTACAACACTTATTCACATATTACTTTCATTATATTTGCCATATCCAAGTGCTACCCATATAATCTTAATATTTTTGCATCAATTTTAAATTGACCGAAGCATTTTTAACCTTATCAGGTAGTAACAACAGTAAATATCAAAGATTGTTGAGTATTTCCAAGATATACTAAAATAAAGACTTCTTGAAAAAACTAAAGTATTTGTTTTATTTTATTTTATTATGTTATGTTAGTCAGCATACAGTACATCACTGGTTTTTGATGTAGTGTTCCATGATTCATTATATTTGTTTTATTTAATTTACAAATAATATAATTCTTGTATCACACTTTGGGAAAAACCATTCCACATTATTTTCTCAGATATCACTTTCCTAAGGTGACCTTCTCTTCCACCCTGTATTACTTAGGTCTTTTTAGCTTAAAAACTCCCATTTTTACTACTTAGTTTATTTGAAAAATACATGTATATTTAGCAATATTATTTATTATTAACAGTACTACCTGACACATCTTGGGCCCTTACATATGTCAGGCTCTGTGCTAAGCATTTCATTAGCATTATCTTCTACAATCTTATAACATATATAAACTATATAAAGCAGGTACTGTCATAAGCTCCCTTTTGAAGATGGAAAAAAAAAATGAAAGTAATCTCTGAAAAGTTAAGGAATTTAAGCCAGTTATTAGCCAACTAAAAAGTGGCAGTTTTGGGATCTGGGTCTATATCCATAACCATTAAAACACACCTCTCTAATACTTAAGCTGTAAAATGCCCAATCGTCTCTCAGAGCCTCAAAAAGAGAGGGACCATGTCTGCCTGGTCCACCAAGCTGTGGCACACTGTCAGTTCTCAATAAACACATACTGAATAAATGCACAAGTTTTCTTCAGTGCTAGGCAACAAGATCTTAACAAGCAACAGCTATATTGAACATTATTTTTAATGAGCCCACTCCCAAATTCTGACTGACAGTTGAGGCCAACTGAGGATCTAAATATTACCACATTAAGCCAATTCACATATCAACTGAGTATAGTTCAACTTAATAATTGCTAGAAATGTGTAATATATGTCATTTCCCCAGAAATGAGACAATCACTTAAACTTCCAACCATAAATTTCATTAATTCTGTTTTCCTTTTCACAAGAAATTCACAGCTTTACATATTTACCAAATATAAAATCCTACCAAGTGGGCTGTCACAATCATACTCATTTCTTAAGTGCTAGAAAGAAAATCTAGTAACCAAATATAACAAGTTTTTGAGATGAGAGCTTATAAATACAAAACTCTTCATTTGGCTAGTCCTATCCCACATATCCACTCATTACACTTTTGGTTTATCAGTCACTGAGTTGCTTAACAAGTAATTCTTACGACCCTACCATGTATAAGACACTGTGTTGGGAAATGGGGATACAACAGTAAATAAGAAAGAGAGTCCCTCCCTAACTATCTAATGGGAGAGATGGATAATTCATCAATTATCAGTCAGTTATGTTATGAAAATCATTTCCCAAGGGTACTACCAAGAACATGTCACAAGAGCATCTGAACTGAGTCTAGGGAAAGCTTTTCAGACAAAGTAATAGCTAAAGTAGAGCCGCACTAGCCACGCTCCGTGATGAGCTCTGCATGGAACTAGTCACACTGTTCCCAGCAATAAGACAGGAAGGAATCACAAAATGTATTTGGAAAGAATGTGAAAAATTTAGAGAAACCATGCTACAATGTTAATTTTCTACACCTATCTTTCCAATATATAATTTCTAGTACTAGACTTTCTTTGCATAAGTGAAATGTGTTTAAGTTGAACTTACTTGAACTGTCAGAGTAAATGGCATCTTTCCCAAACATGTATAGCTCTCCATCCTTAGAAATAACAGAACTACTTCCGTTATTGCAGGCTGTATACACCACAATCTTTCCTTCCATCTTAATTATCTTTTTAGGTTTATAGGGTTTTGATTGCCGTCTGCTCTTAGCTTAAAAAACAACATAAAACAAATAAAATTAAGGCATCTATGTATAAATAAAAATAATGGTTTGTGTAAAAAGCCCAAGGAAAAAATATACGCATTTATGATACACTTCATTTATTTTCACAAAGGCCTGGGCTTCCCAACATGTCAATTAAAATGAGTCAATCTGCAAGCCTCATCTGGTTAATTAATACTTAGGCTATCACTGTCAGATCCTTTTCTTTGTTACACACTGAAATTTCCAATGAGAAACACCAATTTTCTACCAAACTTCTGGCTTCTGGGGAGCCCAATCTCTAGATTTGCTATTTATATTATTAACAACATTCCTTTATCACATATATGATTTTCTCTCAAACTCTACCTCACATGTATTCTTATGCTCATCCTAGAAAGCTAAATCAGTTCCTCATCCATTCAACACATATTTAAGCAGCTACACCCGGTCAGTGAAATTGTCTAAGAAGGGGAAATATATATGGAGAAAGAGTAAATAAAGTTAAATGTGGATGATGATCCAATTAGCCTCTGCTCTCAAAAACTAAATCCCTGATATGGGCAAAAGATGGGAAATATCAATCTTCTTTCAGTCAATCCCAGTTCTTGATGCCTTTCAGAGTAAAAACACATTGTTGTGCTGGGAACAATTCTGGGACTTAAAAATACCATTATGTTTTTTTATATAACATGATCCATATACATATATACGTTAACTACACTATCTGGTGCTCAAAGAAAGAACAATGTCCTCCAAATGCTAGAAGGAAAACCTGGCAGTGCTGAAGTTTCTCAAATATGGCAATACACTTTATGGGGATCTTTTTCCAAGTAACTTTTATGTACACATGATTTTTACATTAGATGTTGACTTCAAACCTAATCCTCGTAAGATGCTACTCCAGTGTGCTAAAACATATAAAGTATATGAGAGGTTACAAAAAGAAAAAAATGACACTTTGAGAAAAACTGAACAGAAGTATAGGAAAGAGCAGAGACAAACAAAACTGTTTATGTTTTCACTGCTTAGGAATGATTTCATTACAGAAAAATAATAAAAAGAACAGTGAGCCATAACTAACACTATTACACAGGTTACATGAGGTTTACTGCCTTCTGAAACATATATTCCTTATAAAATTTTGGGTTACCTAAAATAACATATTGTAATAAATAAGTTTTTTAAAATAACACCAATGAACAAAACAGATGAACAGCAGTGTAACCATAAAGCATCAATTTTTTTTATTCATGAAGATGAACTCTAGAACAAAATCAGCACTTACAATTCTTTAATGAATAGTACAGCACCACATAATCAGTTGATTATGCCCCAATGTAAAATCCTCTATTAATTTGGTGAGGTTAGTGCTATTGAAATTGATATACCTCATGTTAATGAGTTCCACAATATTTTTACTGAATGTCCAGTTGATCAGTCAACTTACTTGACTCTCCATCTTCTCCTTTACTAGCAGATCCTGTAAAGAATATGCTTCCATCTTCTGCAACTAAAAGGGCATGAGAGCCATCGTGACCAACTGAAAAGTGTACAATCTTTGGCGATTTTGTAATTGGTAGCTCAACCCATTTTCCTGCTGAAGGACCACCTTGCTTGATTCCAAGACTCTGGTACTTGCCAGTATAATATATCTTGTATATATATAAAAAAAAGAGAGACAGAAAGACAAAGAGAGAGAGAGAATTATAGTACCTTTTGGAGTAGTGTACCATGCTTCACATGAGAAAAAAAAAAACTTCCATATCTTACTGAAAAACAAAAATAACCTGAAACCAAACTGTTTTTACACTATTCAACTTCTGTGAGATCAGCAGGAGAGAAATATACATATTTTTCACAAAGATCCAGTTCTTAATAGTTTTTTCATATCTACTCAGGTTTAATCTTTCATTATAAGTCTCCTGAATGGATATGAATAAATATACTTCACAAATATACTCTAATCTCACAACAGTAGGAATCTGATAAAATTCTCAACTATTTTTCCCAATGCAAAAAAAACCTACATACAAATATACCATAATTGCCTAGTAATTTTAATTTTCAAAATTCTTTTAATTACCTTACTTTAACCTCACACCCATTAGATAAAAAAACTTCCATCTCTATAGATTGACCTCTACAATCTGTGACTTAATTATACTTGCTCCTATTTCCCTCAACTTGTAGTCTCTGTATTTCTGCACATTTACAGAAATTTGCAATAAACGTGTTCATCAAAATGAACTCAAAATGTGAATTCATTCCAACTCAAAAAATTACAAAAAGCTCCATAATTAAAATAAACATTTGTAGGAATGGAACATTTTAAAAAGTTTATAAAGTTTTACACTCTTATATGTCACAACTTTCTTTTATACTATTTCAACATGAATAAAAGTTCACCATATTAAAATAATAATTTAAAATCAAAAATTTAAATATTATGTTTAAACATGTGAACTATGTAAACTAATCAATTGATTATACCAATTGACTATCTCATAAAGCACAGAATGGTCATTTTTGATTCTAAAGAGTAATTTACCTTTCCACTTGCTGTTTTCATTAGTGCAAACTCTCGTCCTGCACCAAGAATTGCTGACTCCTCATCAAATCCTGTACCTGATAATACAAGACTAATAAATACTACTATATTTTTAATCTGAATAATGTAAATCATAATTTCACACTATTTTGAGTGATTAAAAAGTCATCTCAATTTATACCCTTCAAAAACAAGGCTAACAATCACTATGTTGAATCACTATGTTGCACAACTGAAACTAATGTAACATTGTGTGTCAACTACACTTCAATTAAAAGAAAAAACAAGGACGATGAAATGTCATATGCCTAAATTGGAAAAAAAAAAAAATTAACAATAGATACACTACTCCAAGGAAAAATAAAGTTACCATAAGCTTTTTAATTTGTTTCAAACTAATGCCAAGTTAATTTTTTAAATATAAAAAAATTTTAAATCCATGTCAGCAATATTCCTTGAATGAATGAATGAATGAATAAATTTTTATTGAGCATTATTAGGTATCAGGCATTACAGAGTGCATGAACCTTATCCTGTCTGATCTTCACAACCATACTGCCTGGTTTACGAATGAAGAAATATAAAGCTTGATGAAGTTAGTCCAGACATAGATTCATTTGGACTTGGACAATACCATGCAGATATTTGAATTAAGGTATATCAGATTCCTTGTTCCATGTTTTTCCACAGAAGAACATTTCATGTAGCTACTCCATGAATCTGAATACATATGTGTGCATACACAGAAAGACCCTTATGCACATTTTCAAACTGTAAAACTATTGAGTAAATAATTATATATGACATATTTTATGACTGTCTAATTATACAAACTACTAATTAGTTTATGGGCTTTTTAAATTTAAAAACTGTAATTTCAGTACTTTTCTGTGAAGAATTACAAAAACACTACATAATTAAATAAAATATGCAAAATAAACCACTCATGTCAAGTTTATTAAATTTAATGAGGTAACAGTCAAAAAAGTGGGTCTTGCAAAGAATCCCACAAGCTAAAAATGGCACCATTAAACCTGGAACACCATGGCAAACCAAAATTGAGAGTCTCACGGGAACTAAGGATCCTAATTACTACTATGACCCTGCAAGAGTACATATACTAAAACTGAGAAATACTCTGTGTGGTTGTCTCTATTTCTGTATCCAAATGAAAGATTATTAATTAGTTTGTTAGGCCAATTACCATTTTCACAATCTATGAGAGCATTCTATGGCTATGTTGAAAATCTGTTCAAGTAACAATCAAAGGTTTCAATGAGAGAACTATGTTTATTAATGTAGTAATATTTACAACAAGTTTTCAAAATTTTAAATAACTGAATAAAGATAGAACATAACAATTAATGATGTCCCTAAATGTTATCTATAATTCTTATCAGATTAAGTTTATTTTCATTTGCTCTACTCAAAATGAAAAAGGGAAAATTATTAGTCATTTCCTTAAAATGGTGTTCATATAGCACACTCTGTTTAAAGGTCTTATTTTCTAGCCACTTATACATATTAATTCATAAGTTGCTTTATAATAATAGCAAAGTAACCACCAAAATACTACTGCTCAAAACACAATATGAGTTTTCAAAAGAATAAAGAATCTGAAAATTTAAATATGGGAGAAAGGCTTATTTGACTATCTTACTTATAATATGCAAGTCCTTTTCCAGGTCAAATAGTGAGATACCACAGGCATGTAAACATTTTCTGGCCAGTTTAAGTTGTAATTCTTGTTGTAGCACAGGTTCAGTGCTTGTGGCAAATATTCTGACAACAAAGCCATCCTAAAAGAAATAAAACATTCAGAGTAATATGTTGTATAAATTGGTCTTTCAAGGCTTTCTACTGTCTAATTAAGATCAAATAATTTATGAAAAAAGGATTCCATTTACACAGCTATTCATGATTCAGAGTACTTACATCTCTTGAAGCAGCTATCTGATTAATATATTCTCCATCAGTGAATAAAATATTTTGACCTTCAGTGTGGCAGTCTGTACAAAAAGAGGAAAAAGTAATTATATTACAATATAAATAAACAGCTCACAAAATGACTTTACACCTCTGTTGAAGTTCTCCACGCAATAAGGATAAACTTAAAGGGATACTTTAATAAAAGTTAAAAAAGTGCTTTTTAATAAAGAATTACAAATTAGCAGAAACTAAATAATTCAACTATTATTACTTATTACATTTTGTGCTTACACTTATAAATCTTCCATAATCAAAGACCTGAAAGCCCACCTAATTTCAAAATGAATTAGTATTAGATGTAGTCTGATAATAAACATGCATCATGATGAGCAAACTATAATATTGGTTATAATCATTTCAATACAATCACATGCAATGTAGCAACACTCTACCCTCTGACATACATCACAGTCATTAGTGTCACAGAAAAATACAGATAGACCTAAAAGCTTCTGCATTTGAGGTCTATGGTATCCAATTACAGATATCCCTTGCTTTATTAAACAGAACTGGTTATGCAGTTTCCACTTAGAAGTTTAATAGTTATTCCCAGCATTTTTAGAATTTTACATGCTATACATTTGTGTGTGTGTGTGTGTGTTTTAAGTAAGCTCAGGGCCCAACATGGGGCTTGAACTCACGACCCCAATATCAACAGTCACATGCTCTACTGATCGAGCCAGCCAGGAGCCCCATAGCATGCTATACATTTTTAAATGGTCATCTGCTTCATAGAACAAACACATCTAAGCTTATGTATTTCCTCTGTCTGAAAGCGTTCACATATTTTGGCTGGAATAATGTGCTTTGTCAATACTGTACATATCTCTGTGGAACAGTGCATATATACTCTGATCAAAATAATGCACAAGTGCCATTGTAACAAGGGATACCAGTATTACAGAAGGACCACTGGGACATGTGTTAGTGACTGCTACTAAATAACATGAAACTACAAGCAAAATCAACATCTAAGTATAAACTGTATCCTTTTGGAAAAACAAATATTCAGCAAGCAAGTATAAGAGCACACACACTTCCCAAAATAACTGCAGAGAACTAGGATGAATGTCTCCATTAATTACAACACACACAAAAAATAATATTTCATTTCTATTTGCACCTGAATCAACAAAACATAAAATTCTGGTTTTGGAATGCAGTAATGGAGCCCACCCAAATAAGCTGGATTACTCCATATCTTTGCCCAGGAGCTTCATACTAGCATACTTCCTTATTATAAATATGCAAAACACAGGCAGACCCTTACCAAATAGAGAATTCAGTGATCACAAACTGGAAATAGAAACTGGGAGACAAGGCCCACTGGTAGCCCAAGAGACTTGGTAATCAAAGAGAGGAGAAATCGAAAGAAAGAGTTCCTAGTCCACTGTACAGAATACAAAGAGGCGCAAGAAAGATGCTTCTCAAGCTCTAAGCAGTAAGATTTTAAACTAAAAAGCAAAGAAGAAAAACTCATTATAATTTCAGATAAATGCAGGGGTGAGGAAGTGAAGCGGCGCAAGAAGATTGGCAAAAATTCTCATGATCTGAGGCAATCTGTCACCAGACATGGAGAGTAAATGACATAAGGGTACAATATAAAAGATATGCCAACATATAAAGGCTAAAATGACAACAGAAAAAAAGTGTTCTAAGTTCTTCAATGCTAGGTTGAAAATAACTCATTTATAAGTTAGAATCTAAGACAGGTTAGAACACGAAGCTCAAGGAATTACCAGATTTGTGTCAATTTTAAATATGGCATATTCATTATCATCTATGAACCTGACAATTTATTTCTGCTGCTTCTGGATGTGAAAACTAACAAGTTGCCCCCATTAGGGGAAAAAACGTGCTATTGAAGAAACTGCAGTCCAGATCAAAGAAATGGAAAAATGATGATAGGCTTCCTCAGGCTTGAGGGCAGGTCTTCCTGCTGCATGATTTCAAAAAGATCTTCTCCTTATCCTTTCTTTATCCAGCATGTAATGTTACAAGACAGCATCTTCAGGAAAATATCTGCCAGTTAGGAAGACACGGCACAGGACTGTCCTCCCAAAGTTTGGTTCATTCTTCACCTTGAATATGGTACGTATTTATGAAACACAGAAAGCCACACTTGTACTGTTAAAAGTTGCATTTCATGTTAAATGATGTAGAGTGATTTAAACTGAACAAAAACATTAGCAAGTCATTTTTTATCATGTTGGAATAAATAAAACAGCTACAGGGAGGCCATTTTCAAATGATCTTCTCAGTCACAATCTTTATTAATTGATCAGCATTTCTCAAAGTACATCTTTATATTAGTATTCATCTGTTGGGAGGGGTAGTGTATTTAAGAACTTTTCTTCCAGGACATTATTCTAAAATAACATGCACAAAGAGTGACAGGGATGCTCATTACAGTGTAATTTATATGGTAAAAAATTGGAAGGAACTTCCATTCCAATATATTAATCAATGAAATATACTTTTTAATATTAAAATGATATTGTGAGGGACTATTTAATGGTCCGGAAATATATTCAGAATATTAAGTGAAAGGGATAGGTTAAAAAAGCATTAGACAGCATACGACCTCTTTTTTATAACACTGTCCATTCATACATAGAAAAAAGACAGGATATTTACCAATATGCTAACAGTGTTTATATATGGGAAGTGGAGTTACAATTAGTTTTGATTTTTTTTTGCTTATATGATACTTATACAATAAATGTGATTATTTTTAATATAAGTATATATGTGTGTGTATATACATATATATGGGGATGCAAGTAATTATTTTAAAATTATCATTATCATCACCATCATCACCAGAGACATGGTTCATCCAGGACTTGTGGTGATTTAAAAAAAGAAAAACAAAACAAAACAAAAACCTACAGGTGTATCTGAAAACAGTTATTTACAAAATGGCTTTAATAAGTTATCTGTTTTCCAAAGTAGCTTTTTTTGTGAAACACACATGAAATGTGGCATTTACCTTAACATGGTGTCATGTTAAGGTATATATATATGCATAGCAATGTTCGAATAAATGTTTGATGAAGTCATAAGAATATTTTAAAAATTAACAACCAGCTTGGGAGCAATTATCCTTCCCAATGTATTCTTCAGAAGTAGTTCTCAATCATTTTCAGATGGTCAAGTACTTAGAAGTAATACTGCTGCTTTCCATGAAATTATTGATACACACATTAAACATTTAAGATTTTAATATAAGCAAACTCCTACATTATGCATTAAAGGTATTTGCAAATTCAAGGACCTTATAAGGGATAATGTATTATGCATCTGCCCAGTGTTCCACAAAATTTAAGATCCACTGCCCCAGAACTTAAGACAATAATTTAAGTGATAAATACAGTGAATTAAGTGATAAATATGTATGTGCAACCTCAAAATTAAAGCAAATGAATTGTGTCCAAAGTGCCTTATCAGAGTAGTATTAAAAAATATAAATGATGGAATTAAAAAAAATTCCTAATCCATTTAAAATCTGTGTCTGAAAACTCTTTATAAAAAAGAGGAAAACCTAAAGTGCACTGTTGTTAAAGAAAAAATAAAAATTAATAGAGAGTTCTTCATACCAAGTTATATGAGAGCCAGAGTCATCCTATTATTAGGAGCAACAAAGTAACCTCACACCCCCTAATTCAGCAGCTGAAACTATCTTGGTGGGGTGAGGGTAGGGGATCAGGCTGTAGATGGCCAGTGATTGGAAAACAAGTATTAAAACACTTTATACAATATTGCCAATGTCTGTTTTCCTCACATGCATTAACTTCACATAGACTATAAAATATTTTGTATGTCAAGATTTTTTTCAGCCTATTTGTAAGCAAGCACTATTCCTAGCTAATCACTTTTTATGTGTCCAAATGGCCTAACATGCACATCTCTTAAAATCACCTGTGAAGAAAACAAATGACTAGTTGAGTAACATACCTGGTAACATTACTGTACCATCTTGTTCCAGTGTTTCAGGGCTTATTCTTATGGCTGTCATGCTGTGGTTATTAACATCTCTATACAATAAATAACCCTGAAAACAACAAAAAATTTTGCTGTGTTATGTGTTAAAATATTTCTTTCAGTAGCTACTTAGCAGAAAAAGTAGTCATACAGGTCTGTCTGTATAGTTTTTTGAGGTATGGTAATATGTCAATATTGATAACTAAAACAGATTTAAGATTAAAAATATAAGAACATGGGTATGCTTTAGTAAGAGGAGGAACTGTACACTACTGGGTAACAATTTAACCTATTACATTCTCAGATACCTACATTAGATACACCACCCAGGACAGCATAGACATTTTGTTCAAATTATTTTATCACTTGCCAAGTAAATAAGAGAAATGACCACTGTTATTTTAACAAATGTTTTAAGGAAAAATAGCTAAAATATTTTGGTTAATATTTAGAAACAAATAGGGTAGCGGTTTTAGATGGAATGATATGCCACTGAACATATTACCATGTCCTTATTTCTTACATAAAATACTATAGTGGCAAATAAAAATTTGATGAGACGTTTTGAACCAGGTTAACTTTTAAGAGACAATCACTGAGTAATTAGACATATAAAATTTAATTTCAGAATCTTCCCAATAGTTGATATAGCAGAATTATTTTTCGTATCAACAATTTCTTTAATTTTCAAAATGCTTTCAAATATCTTTTATCATTTGATGATGACAATAAGCTGTGAGCTGGGCAATACAGGTATGTAGGGATATCTTTATTCTATATCCTTCCACAAGGGAGCTTGGACTTTACCTCTCAGGAAGGGACAGTATGGAAATAAACCTGGCCCTCTGTCCATCCTTCATCTGCTTCTCTCCATGGTAGGTGTAGTAAGGTATCTGATTGCTGACACCCATTTGGTCACATTAGTCAGGTGATGAGATCAGAGCATTAAGAAAGCAACACAGGCCTAGCTCTTTTCTCTTTGGTGATACTTTGCATGATCCTCCATGTAGGTAGCTGTTCACTGGACAGGCCACACACTGTTCCCCGGAGGTACTGATTTAGACTTAAAATGAAGGGTCTAGTGGCAAGAAGCTCTAATTTGGACTCAGGTCACACAGATACATTCCCAATTCATGTTTGCTAATGGTAGTGGTGGTCTCTGATTCTTATCTAGAGATCCACTTAAACAAGAATTCCAACGGAAGACATTTTTATGCCCATTTTATAGCTAAATAACAGAGGATCAAATAAGTTAACTGAGGTGTCCAAAGTCACACAGCTAGTAAGGATCAGGTACAGAACTAAAAGTAAACCTCTTATGAATTCTAAGCCAATGTTCTTTATATTACACTGTATCATTGTTATTAGCCATATTAAAAATACACCATATCTGTTTAAACAGAAGTGACGTTATTTATTGATCAAACAAGTACAAGCCACATGTTCTAAAAGACAGGAAAGAAAAGTTTGGTTTATTATGGATATTCTCTTACCTGAGCATACCCTAACCAAGACTTTTTTTCTTTTCTGTTTCTGATGCGAGATGTAGAATTATATATATGGCCCTGCAAAGTAACAAAAAAGTTAGCCCATCAACAGTTTCATAATTAATAATCAATGAAAAATAACACAAATGGATGACATTTAATACTTATGTTTCCATCATGACTTTCAAAGAAATATTATTACATCAAAATTAAATAGTACTCTAAAAATGAAGCTGAAAACAAAATACAATTCAGGATGGACATAACTTCTGCTATAATTAAGAACTATAAGGAATCACATTACCCTAACTGTTCCACTGTATCCAGAGCCTATTTTGTATAATCCATCCTTGCATAACAGATAAAGAAAAAATCCATCATTCTGAAGTAGACATTGATCATCTTCATCAACGGATATTTCTTTTAATGGCCACTTGTGCATTAAAGCTGCTTTCTTAATGCCATTGCTAAACCAGTCCTGAATTTGGATTTTTCCCACCAATACTGCCTGTACACTTCTCTGTAGGGAATTTAGTATCGTTGGCACCTATTTAAAAGACAAAAAATAAATAAATAGGTATTTTTAAATGTCGCAAACACAAAACAGACAAAATAAAGATACTTCAGTGATACATCATCAATCATCATTTATGAGAAAATAAACTGTTCAGAATGATCATGGTTTGGCACATCAGTAAAAACTAGTAAGCAGACGTTTATCTATAAGAAGCAAATCTCAAGCAGCCCAAGATAAAAGTGTCAAATTCAAAGAATATTAACTTGCATTTCTGGCTGAAAACACTGAAATATGCATCTTTCTCCAAGACACCCAATAACCAGTACTGCCTATGATTTCAAGCTTTGCGGATGGAAACATACTAGATTAGTAAAAAGTATGAACACTGGATATAAATAAAATTATATTGGATTAGAATACACACAAGCCAAAAAATCTTTTGTAGGATATGCATAATTATTAATACCCTTCCTGATAACAAAGCACAAATTTAAGCTGAAGAGAATGGTGCGGTATGGCTTCTACAGATGAAACAAAATTTCCAATGTTTCTCTTCCACTTTGCTTCTCCATTATTACTAATGCCCATCAACATCAACAATATTCCATGATATGAAAACTCATTTGTGTTAATTGTGTATTCATTCAACCTTCATTTATCATTGGATATCAATATTTATCAAAGACCTGCCAAATACCTGGCACTGTAACTGAGTCGTCAACAGTCACCAGCATGGGACCAGCATTCTGCTAGCAGAGGAAATTCTGTTCCTCATCTTTTGTCTCTCTTTTACCACATCCAACAACATAGCCAGACCCCAGGGCATGACTCAGCCATTGTCCAACACGGCAGCCATTAGCCACATGTGACCACTGAGCTCCTGAAATGTGGTTAGTGCTCTAAATACAAAATACACACTAGATTTTGAAGACTTAGTATAAAAACAAGAATACAGAATCTTAATAATAATATTACATTGATTACACGTTGAAATAAATTTTTTGGATATACTGAGTGAAATACATCATTAAAATACATAATTAACCACACCTGCTTCATTTTACCTTGTTAATGTGGTTAATAAAAATTTTTAATTATACACGTAGACTACATTATATTTCTATTGGGCAGCATTCTGTAGAGGGAAGAGCTTTCACAGGGATAAGTGACCCACTGTTCACAGATACATTCTCCTCCCCTTCCAGTTCTAAGGCCTCTGACTCACCCAAAATAATTTATACTATATGTATAGATAGTATAAATATACATACAATAGAATTATACATATAACATATACATAGTTGAATACTACAAATTCTCTCCCTAGAAGCAGTTATATTAAACTTACAGGTGTTTTATCTAGAATCACTATCCACATTTCCATATAAGATGCCAAAGCTTCCATTGTTAATTTTTTTGTTTCAGATACTTTCTCTGTTGGTGTCTATTATGAACGATGATGCCCCTACTCCATCCCAAATCCTCAAAATTGAGCTATTATAATAATTTCTGGTTACATTAGTATTCAAAGGTCATTCACTATGACTGTGTAATCATGGTTCATGAACCAAAGTGTTTAACATACATTTCCCTCTTGTGTAATTTTTCTTTTTTTGGTTAAGTCAACAATTGCCCTATTTTTGCATTTGCTAAGTTTGCTCTATACCTACTCCTAAGTGTTCCCCATGCTCCTCTCAATAAAGTCACAAACACATCATTTCTGCTTTTCCCGCTTGGCAACACCCCTCATGAAACCCTGCTCTGACCTAGACTAAGGAAGAGGCAGGCATAGAAGTTAAAATTATTCCATATCTTGCATGTGGCAAAGCATCTTCATCATCCCTCACACATGACTGCCAGCTGAGCTACATGTAGTGGACATCATTTTCTCAGAACGTGGAACGCACTGTTATCTTTTATGCCAGTGCTGCTTTTGAGAAGTCGCCAGATGCCATTATGCTTGACTTTTGTTACATAATCGGTCTTTGCTCTCTGGAAGCTTTATTGTCTGTTAATTAACAGTGTTCTGATATGCAAAGCTCTATCTTGGTGTGGGTCTTTTTTCATAACGAATGCTGGGCACTCAGTGTGTGTTTTGTCAGTCTGAACATGTGTATCTTCAGGGGACAGGAATTTTCCTTGTAAGACTTTTAATTTCCTTCTCTCTGCTTGAATACCTATTAGGTATTAGATTTCCTGGTTAAATCCTCCAGTTTTATTTTATATCACCTGTTTTCTATTTTCTGGACACTGCTTCAACCTGATCTTCTAACACTTCTACTGATTTTATTGTTGCTATCTTAACTTATAAAAATTCTTTCCTGTTCTCTAAGTGTTTAAAAAAAAAATAGAATACTGATGTTTCTATTATCCTTCATCAAAATATTAATTGGTTTTCTTAGAGCTTCTTCTGTTCTCTCTATTCTTTTTATCCAAATTATCTATTATCTTTTACTATTATTATTCTTGATTTGGGGGATCTCTTTTTCATGTTAGCCTAGTGATACTTGGTTGTACACTTTTTTTTTGTTGCTGCACTGTTTTATTTATTTTTTGTTATTTTTTTTAATATTTCAAGTTTTTATTTAAATTTTAGTTAGTTAACATATAGAGTAATTTTAGTTTCAGGAGTAGAATTTAGTGGTTCATCACTTACAGATAACACCCAGTGCTCATCACAAGTGCCCTCCTTAATACCCATCACCCATTTAGCTCATCTTCCCCACCCACCTCCCCTCTAGCAATCCTCTGGTTTGTTCTCTATAGTTAAGAGTCTATTTAATGGTTTGCCTCCCTCTCTCTCTCTGTTTTTTTCTTTCCCCTATGTTCATCTGTTTTGTTTCTTAAATTCCACATGAGTGAAATTATATGATATTTGTCTTTGACTGGCTTATTTCACTTAGCGTTATACTCTCTAGATTCATCTATGTTGTTGCAAATGGCAACATTTTATTCTCTTTGTTGGCTGAGTAATATTCCACTGTATTATATGTGTAATATACCACATCTTCTTTATGCATTCATCAGTTGATGGACACTTGGGCTCTTTCCATAATTTGGTTATTGTTGATAATGCTGCTATAAACAGCAGGGTGCATGTGCCCCTCTGAATCAGTATTGGGTAATCACCTAGTAGTGCAATTGCTGGGTCATAGGGTAGCTCTATTTTTAACTTTTGAGAAACCACCACACTGTTTTCCAGAGTGGCTGCACAAGCTTGCATTTCCACCAACAGTGTAAGAGGGTTCCCCTATCTCTGCATCCTTGACAACATGTTATTTCCCGTGTTGTTAATTTTAGCCATTCTGATAAGTGTCAGGTGGTCTCTCACTGTAGTTTTGATTTGTATTTCCCTGAGGATGAGTGATGTTGAGCTTCTTTTCATGTGTCTGTTAGCCATCTGTATGTCTTCTTTGGAAAAATGTCAATTCATGTCTTCTGCCATTTCTTAACTGGATTATTTGTGTTTTGAGCTCAAACTCATTCTACAAGGCCAGCATTACCTTGATTCCAAAACCTGACAAAGACCTCACTAAACAGGAGAATTACAGGCCAACATTCCTGATGAACATGGATGCAAAAATTCTCACCAAAATACTAGCCAATAGGATACAACAGGACATTAAAAGAATCATTCACCATGATCAAGTAGGATTTATTCCTGTGCTGCAAGAGTGGTTCAATCTTCACAAATCAATATGATACACTACATTAATAAAAGAAAGGATAAGAACTACATGATCCTCTCAATAGATGCATAAAAAGCATTTGACAAAATAACAGCATCAATTCTTGATAAAAATCCTCAACAAAGTAGGAATAGATGAAAATACCTCAACATCATAAAGGCCACATACGAAAGACTCCCAGCTAATATAATCCTCAATGGGGAAAAAACAGATTTTCCTCTACAGTCAGGAACAAGACAGTGATGTCCACTCTCGCCATTATTACTTAATAGAGAACTGGAAGTCCTAGCCTCAGAAATCAGACAACAAAAAGAAATAAAAGGCATCCAAATTGGCAAGAAAGAAGTCAAACTTTCACTACGCACAGATGACATGATACTATGTAGAAAACCTGAAAGACTCCACCAAAAAATTGCCAAAACTGATACATGAATTTAGTCAAGTCACAGAATACAAAATCAATGTAGAGAAATCTGTTGCATTTCTACACAGCAATAATGAAGCAGCAGAAAAAGAAATCAAGGAATTGTCCCATTTATAATTGTACCAAAAACGATAAGACACCTAGGAATAAACCTAACCAAAGAGATAAAAGATATGTACTGTGAAAACTACAGAACACATGAAAGAAATTGAAGAGGACACAAGGAAATGGAAAAACATTCCATGTTCATGGATTGGAAAAACAAATATTGTTAAAATGTCTATACTGCCCAAAGCAATCTACACATTTAATGCAATCCCTATCAAAATACCCACTAGCATTTTTTACAGAACTAGAACAATCCTAAAATTTGTATGGAACCCCAAAAGACTCCAAATAGTCAAAGCAATCTTGAAAAAGAAAAGCAAAGCTGGAGGCATCCAATTCCAGACTTCAAGCTGTATTACAAAGCTGTAGTCATCAAAACAGTATGGTACTGGCACAAAACAGACACACTGATCAATGGAACAGAACAGAAAACCCAGGCTCCCCTAAAGAGTACTTTGTTTCTACTAACTCCAAATGATGGTGCCTTTTTTTCTATGTGCTTTTTGTTTGTGAGCTCAGATGGGTTTTGTCTGTGGGAAGCCTTTGAAGCTTGGAGTTCATTCCTCCAAAAAGGATTTTAGTCTCCTTCAATAATAAGGTACTTCATGGTACTATCACCCCTGCCCTACTTTAAACTCTCAGCTTAAGCTTTTTGGAACAAGGTAAGTAATATGCATTTGAATCCCGAAAGAATTTGAAATGTTAGAGTTATACATTCTTGGGGAAGATTTTTCTCCCTCCACCCATAGCCTGGCCAAGACAGTTCTGTGACATGAAGTGGTTGGTGGAATGGCGCCAAATCATGAGGAACATTGTAAGCCATGTTAAGATAATAGGCATTATTTAATATGGTGTTTGGGCTGGAGAAAGGGATGCAGGGACAGGGCAGGTCTATAGAGAACCTTAGCTTTTGATTCAGGGGATCTAGTCGTGCACAGACTCGTGCATATTAAGCAAATACTGCAGGCAGTCAGACAGATATGCACACAAGTCTTGTCTCTGTTAGCTGGAAGCTCTAAATACTGTAACTATACCAAACTTCTTTCAGTCGTCAGTATTCCACTCTTACTCTTAGCTTCCTGTCTTAGCACATGGATACCAAGAACATTCTCCCTCCACATCCCCAAACACTAACACCTCCTCTGGCCAATTCAACTCATCATTTAGACTTCACCTCATATCCTCTGAGATGAGTCTACAGACAAAAATAAATCACACGATGCCTAATAAGCTCATATGTTTATGGTCACTCTATTTTTAAAAATTTGGTGTATGATATGTAAATGTTTGTGTTATTTCACTAAAATTTAAGAATTATTTTTGTATTTTAAGCATGTATTTAAATTAAAATTTTGCCAAACCTCAAAGCACAGCTGCAGAACAGTTTTGAAAACCACTGCATTAGAGGAACTTCGAAATAATTAAGGATCATAAAAAGGGAAAAGAAGATTTCAGGCAGGGCAGAAAGGGAAAAGAATAAGAATAGAAATCTAGAGTATGGGGATTGCTCATGTTTGACAAGGAGAGTTCAATATTGCTGAATTAAGTCCAAAAAAATGACCCACATACCCCTTCTGCTATCTTTGGCCTGCTAATAACAGGATTGAAGCAGCCCTTCCATCTGTTCTGGAGGTTGTCCAAGGGGCCCGTGAAGAGCACATAACGGAGACTTAAAACTGTAACTTCTTACTCACTTTCCAGAACAATCCAAAGGAATTAAATCAAGTTTGCTTTTAGGAGAATTATATTTCCCACCACTAACAACAATAAAGAGCTTAGTCCACAATCAAGATATTAAAAGCTTAAAATGTTCTATGTAAAGATGAAGCAGCTCAGAAACAAATCAACTCATTAAAAGACTACATTTGTTCCTTGAACAATGCAGGGGTTAGGGGCACTGACAATACTTAATTCTGGGAAAGATGGGAAGTCGGAGAGAGCACAGAACAAGACAATGCAAAGAGGTGGCTGGGGTGCTGACACAAAGACCAGCTTAAAGATTAAAGAGTTTTTGCCAAATTTCATTTTATTACCTTTATATATTGTGGATTACTTATATATCAACCTTGGATAGATCAAACCACTCTAATGAGTGAGAAAAAGCAGGGGACTCCTACTGACAGAAATTAAGGTGAAATTCCAACTTGGCATCTTATAACCCTCTCAGCAGCTATAAATGAAATACCTGTATTGTTTGGCAAGCGTGGCTGCCATTGTTGGTGAGGATAGCAGAGATGGCCTGAAGTGTCCTTCCTGTTTCTCCCCAAGAAGCCACCAGACTAAAGAGGCAAGCACAGGAAAGCGCTGTCAGAGACTGGCCTGTGCTGTCATTCATTCCAGTACTTCGAACAGTGATTTCCAAAAGGAGCTGGAAGAGAGACTCTGTGGATAAAATAAAACTCAATTATATTCATTCGACATACAAAACATTTCATGTCTCTGTTTATTTATTTATACCTTGCCTCATTATAAAAAAAATATTTAAGGCACCTAGAACACTTACTTTGCATTAGTTCCTTTCTAGTTACCCTTTTCCCCGAAAAGTTAGAATATTTATAATAAAAAGGACCTTAGAGAACGTTTAGTTCAACCCCTTATTTTTGTAAATAAAAAAATGGAATCTATCCCAGGTTGTTTAAAAGAAAGTTGTCTTGAGGCATTCACACATTCAAGAAATATCCTCTCGAGTAACAGGCTACTCACTGCACTCATGTTACCTTTTAGAGTGGGAAGAATACAAGCTTCTTAAAATGTTAATATAAGTGTCCCAAAAAATTATGTATTTGCAAAACAAAAGAATACATAAAACACATGCTATAATTTGTTTTAATGTAAAGTTGCTTTATTGCTAACATAATAGCAGTTCATATTTTTATTATAAAGAGAGTATGCAATTCATTTTATACCCTAGAAAAACCTCCTAGTCAATAGGACAGATGCCCTCCCCCTTTAATGGACAATGAAATTGAGACAGGGAGATAAAGAGATTTTCCCTAAATGATAAAGCCATCTAGTGGCAAAGATGGTAAAGTAACACCTGAACGTTCTACGGCCATGAGAAGTTTCCACACAAAATTCCCTAAACAACTCTGCCCAAGACTGAATCAATAGACTTGCAGGTATTTCTTCTGCAGAAGGGAAGGGAAATTTGAAAATCCTTATACAGAGTGAGCGCTCAAGATAGAAAGAAACAGTCAGAAAAAGACTGCAAAATTGAGGAAGATGAAGAAAGGGAGAGGGAAAAAGAAAGCAAGAGAAAGAGAATTCATATACTGCAACTCTCTGAAAACTAAAAGGCCATGTGTGGTTTACTCGCTAACTCACAGAAAGTTAGCCTTCCTCTGTCTCTCCCTCATCTCCTGTGTCTCTCATCCCAGTTAAGCCCGTCACTTTCGATTCCTAATGCCTCCCCCGCTTGCTCCATCTCACGACCATCTTCCCAATCCATGCTATCACCACCTTGGAATTGGACTACTACAAAGTGTTCATAAATTAGCTCCTACCTCCACTTTCGCCCCTTTATAGCCAAACAGAATTTTTAAACCAAAAATGTTTTTATTTAAAATCTGTTCACTCCTTTGTTAGTCTGTTCCTGCTCCTCTTCCTTCTTTCCGTTCTCCCTCCCTTCTTGCCTGTACATCCTTCAGTCTTTCCTTCCCTTTGCCCAACTATCCTTCTTTCCCCTCATCCTTTCATCTGTCCTATCTCCATTTGTCCATCCTTCCTTCCATCATTATCCTTCTGCCCCTTCATCTTTTAATTACTCAGCAAATATTTACTGAATTCTTCCTGTACATGAAAAACTATTCTAGGTTGTGGTAGTACTTTGGCAAACAAGACAAAGAATGCCTGTCATCAAAAAAGTTAGATTCAGGTGGAAGGGAACAGTATAAGTGCCATAAAATAAAGAACTTTTTTAAAGCATAAGGAAATAGTTAGTGACTTTCCATTTCTCCTAGAACAATAGCCACCAGGCTCCTTTAACATGGCCTATGACGCTCCACATGGTCTAGTCCCTGACTCCCTCCTCACCTATGGCAAAGCCCTGCCTCCCTTCACTCTCCACATTCTAGCCAGTCATTTTCCTTTCTGTCCCAGAGACTTCCTGCATGCTGTCCTCTCTGCCTAGAAAGGTAGTTAATGTCTTCCTACTCATCCTTCAAATCGCCAATGTCTCATCTTCAAGGAAGCATGTTACGGATTCCCAGAACTCCTTCTACTGTCCCCCATACTATTTACCCAATCTGCAATCACACGTGTCCAACTGTCTGATGCTAAGTCCCATAATAACAGCAACAATGTCTGTACTGATCACCCCTGAATTATACGCTTTTGCACAGAACACAAGAGATACTTTTATTTACGTGAATACTTAAGAACATATATTCCAACCTTAAAATGAACAGAAAAACAGATGTAAGAATGATTTTTTTTTTAACTAGACAATTTCTAAATCAAAATCTATTTGCTAAGAGAAGCTTGGTGTATAATAATCAAACTACCCTGACAGTAAGAGTGATACATATATACCTATATTTTTATGAATAACATGAAAAAAAACCCAGTGTATTAATGTGATTATGCTATTAGATCAAAGAAAAAACAGAGATAGATTTCAATAGAAATTTAGTTTTAAACAGCCAAACTACATCTTTGAGCTAATTAAAGATATATAAGAAATAAGAAATATGAAGTGATGGTAAATCCCTCAATAGAAAAATAAATCAAAGCGGTGAAGAGATCAGAAGTAAACCCTGAAAGGATAAAAGAGAGACCAAAGAAGTACAGCAGCATCTGAAACTGTTAACAAGAAAACAAAAACAAAAACGAAACCAGACAAATTAATCAGGTGAAAGTTTTGATAGAAGATGAGTAAGCTAAAGCACACATGATAATTTCAAAAACAGTATTATGAACAAGATCTGTTTTGAAAAGAATAAAGGAAAGGGAGTATTTATATATAGACTGGATACAAAATAAGATGTGTAACAACTGATAAAAGACAAGGGTATGCCAGAAGATCTAGGAAAAAGAAATGATCAGCATGTTATTCAAAGTAATAAACAGGATATACAGGTTTTAGTGGATATTTTAAATATTTCAATTATTTGTTAATTGACAAACCAGAGCTAGGAACAGCAAAATATTCTTAAATCAATTAAATAAATAAAAGCTTTAGTAAGATGCTGTGATGCCAAGTAACATATCAAAATAGCAATATGATCACTGGTGTTACCATAACAATAATCAACAACGTGCCATATGACAGCTTTTATTTAGTAATATAGTAGTATTTAACAACATGGAGTGGGGGAGGGTATTGATTTTCTTAAATCTTCAGCTTGTTTTCCTGGCAAGCACTCCCCTCACCCACTAAACCAAACAAAAAATCAAACACAAAAACTGATTCCCTCCCCTCCAAAAAACCACAACCAAAACAAAACCAGTATGACACGTAATTAGGTTCTTACATGTGGATCTAATAAACAGCAAATAACCAAGTTGGAAAAAAAGATCAAACTCTAGTCCAGACCAGCAGTGTGGTCCCCAGGTGAGCTGCACTGGCACATTACCCAGAAATGTATTCTAAATGCAAATTCTTGGGCTCCATGCCAAATCTACTGAATCAGAAACTCCACATGGACGCACATGACTCAGATATGAACTAATGCTTGAGATTTAGAAAACTCTAGACTTTCAAGGCCCATGGTTAGCAACAGAGAAAAACATCAGCCAATTTCAAACTTATGGCCCATCTCTATTTCTATTCCTCAAGAGCTCCTAACTTGCTTACTGGATTATGTGTTGAACCTTTATCAGTAACACGAAAGGCATGTATTCAAAAAATCCAAATACATTTTACAAAAAGCAAACGTATTTACTTATTGGAAGTTGCTACTAATTCAAAAGCATTATCTATAACAAAAATTGATTTTTATTTACAATGAATACAGAAGAAATGCCCTCTGTTGGGAAACTAGATGTGCTGTTTTGGGTTGGTAGCATCTGGTTCCACTCTTCCCATTTTTTTAACTACCCAGAATAACACATAAAGTTAGAGAAAGTCAATGTTCACTATTTTGGCCTAAGGTTTAACAAGAACGGTTTAAGTTAACAGTAACTATAAGGCTTGGGATTATTTCTGGGTTCCAACGATTAATGTTTTGCTTTTTCCCCATCCTCACAATAATCAAGAAATGTCTGTGCATGAATTGTAAGTCTTAAACTATAACTCTAGTAGAACATAGCAAAATACCTTAAAATTTATACCCTTGCTGTTTTAATACCATAATTAAAAAAACAAAAACAAAAACAAAACTGCATTACAAGCTGCTACATGTATATGCTTCATAGGAGAAGCTATTTACATTTAAAGACTTCATTTAATGCCCTGAGCTCTTACCTAGGACCTCAGGTGGCTCTGACTGGAGGCCTTCTGGCTGCTGACCCTGAAGTACATTAAGCAGGGCCTGGAGACTCCTGAGGCACAGGGATGGATGAGAAAATCGCGTCTCCTTGATCAATTCAAAAACTTCACAAAGTCCAACCTCAATGATCTGTTTAAGATGAAAAAAAAAATAATATATATGTACCTTATAACAGGTAAGCTAATAACACTTTCCAGGCAGTTGAACCAGTATGGCTTATTTACACAGCAAATGATTAATGCTGCCATATTTACGAGGCAAAAACAAAAAGAAACACATTAAAAAAAAAAAATGAAAAAAACACAACCACCCAAGATTCAGAAAACCATCTAGTGATATGGAAGGTTAAAAAATAATGGCACTATTTTATAAGTAGTTATAGCATAAGGAAGCCATAAGAAAAATCATGAAAATTGTTAAGAGTGCACTAGATACTAGGTTACATTCACTCAGAAAAAATAAACTCTATTAATTTAAAAGTTCATTTGGCTGTACTCAAGTACAAATCAGCATTCTTTCATTAAAAGTCATGTCAATTGTTACTTATGACCAGAAAAAGTCAACATAACTCATACAATGAAGAGATTTAAAAAGGAGTTTTTTCATCTTAGCCCTTCCTATAATTGTACAATCACATTATTATTTACTGATGGTTTCCCCCTTCTTGTAGGATTTATCACAAAAAGAATTAAAAACTGCCTACTTAAAAGATCACTACTATTTTTACTTTAATTATCTTATCACCCTCATTAGGACCAAGGAAAAATCTGACTCACTATCTAGCAAAAGATAGAGAAATCTGCAGCTAAAGATTGACAGAGAAATGTGATGACCTGGTATTGGGAGATACCTTCAGAGGACTGACAGAACAACAATGAAATCCCATTTCTCAGTCAGTGACAATATTTTGAGAAATAGATGTATAAGATCTTTTTAGAAGGTGTTAAATTATTTGGAGAAGTAACAGAAAAAGTTAAAACAAGACTAATTAGTAGAAATGCATCAAAGCATTAATTCTGTTGGACATAACAGCAGAAGAATATTCTCTAGGCTGAGATCTGTGCATTAATCACGTATTACATAAATATTTCCTAAGCACTTATTTTGGCAAACTCACTACAGGAGATATGAAGATACACATTACACTAGTCCCTGTCTTCTAAGAATTTATACTCTATAAATGAGCCTTGTACATGACTCTTACCAAGTTGAGAGACTTCTGTTATGGCATTTATTATATTATAGTTAGCTCACTATTTTTGTTTCCTTTTTCATAACTAAACTGTGGTCTCCTCATAGACAAGGAGCATGTTTGAACTAGCTTAATAGCTCCCGTGGCTAGCCCAGTGCTTGACACATGATACGCATATAATAAATATTTGTTTAATTGCTCTCTCAGTTGTGTGCTAAAAACCACTGCAACTCAGAAATATATCTCCAGACAACGGTCAAATCAGTTGCAGGAAAGTCAGCTGCAGTTTTGATTATCATTTACAAGGTTTCTGAAGAATACAGATATGACTGAGAAGTTAAAATAACTAGCAGGACTGTTTTTAGAGAAGTTACTAAAATTCTAGCAGACTTAGTTGTAACTAAGATTACAGAAGTTGCCTGTATAAAGTTTCAATTGATTAAATGCACTAAGCAGTGAAAATTTTCCAGTTGATATAGTTTCTCTTCCTGGAATAGACTAAAAAATAAAAACGTGCTGTTCAAGATTTCTATCTGCTTATGTACTTACAGGAAATGAATCTGAACTCAAAGATCTCCTAAACACAAAACATGGAGCTCTATTCTCAGGCCAATGGGAGACTACTATATTCTTGCAGTCTTCAAGAATGCTTGCTCTACTGCTATCAATCATGACTTTTCAAAAGCCAAAGGAGAATCTTCACAGATAACATTCTTAGCTAGGGTTTATTTATATAATATCCCTACAGTAACAGAGAAAGTACTGAACCTTACCAAAAAGAGTAAGGCTACCTCCTGAACAAGTTCCTGAGTTCTCTCTGGTAAGTTTAGTGTGTAAGAATAAATGTATACCTGAGTAAGGAACTCAGGTATGCTGCTTAGGAATAGAACACTGGCTGGTTTTGGTGAGACATACCCATAAAATGTTAGTCAAATGATAAGGAGAGAGAAATTACCCATCTGTCTAGATTAACCACACTATAGATTCTCCCTACTCATCTGTACCTTACTTCACAAAAAAATTTTTTTAATAAGGGGGAAAACTACGTCATTTCCAGAATAGCAATATGTTTTCAATATACAACAAAATAAAAATCAACCTCAAGTTTTCCAACATATCTAGCTTTGAATTATTGAGCTGAGAAATAAAAGATGTTGTGAAATAAGTGTTTTCCCCTGAGGTTTGGCTGAGCGTATTTTACTGTATGTATGAACTTTGAAATTGCACTTTACACACTGAGGCCTTTTTATTTTATTTTATTTTTTTATTTGAGAAAGAGTGAGAGCTAGAGAGAGCACACACAGCGGGAGAGGGAGAAGCAGACCCCCGCTAAGCAAGGAGCCCAAAGCGGGACTCGATCCCAAGACCCTGGGATCAGGACCTGAGCCAAAAGCAGACGCTTAACCGACTGAGCCACCCAGGCGCCCCTAAGCTTCAATATTTTTGATGATAAACCATAACCAACTACCCAACACATAATCTTCCACTTCTCTTCAGAAAATAGTCTTTTGTAAATTTACTGAATTTTTCTTTTATAGTTGCTTTCAAATAATTAAATCCTGAAGGCTCTCTATTATACTTGAAGGAACACAAACCCAAATAACTATCTGATACAGCCAGTCCAATGTCACTGCTGGGAAAAGTAAAATAAAAACATGCTTGGCCAAAGAAAAATGAGTTTTTCAAGGTTTTATTTTTGCTCTCCTCAAATCGTATTATTTCCCAAAGTGACTTTATTATTTCACTAACAAGTATGAACATAAAAGTTTAGTTACATTTAGATGGAATAATAAATTCTTTGCCATTAGAAATTGTATCTTGTTCTATTAAAATGTCCTAGAGGGAAGGGGTAGGGGATTGGCAAAATAGATGAAGGGGATTAGGAGGTACAAACTTCCAGTTAAAAAATAAGTAAGTCCTGGAGATGAAAAATACAGCATAGAGAATATAGTCAATAATATTGTAATAATGTTGTTTAGTGACAGATGATGACTGCACTTATCATGGTGAGTATTTTGAAATGTACAGAATTATCTGTACGCTCTATACCTGAAACCAGTATAACACTGCATGTCAACTATAAGTTAAAAATTGTTTTTAAAGTCCTAGAATCCATTCTAATACTTCCAGAATACATTTTAAAAAACTGGAGAGGAAACCAAAAGTAGATTTATATATTACTACAGAGGAAAGTATACTGACTTTCAGGATTTTTTATATAAAGCAAATATTTGGTAGAGATGACATTTACAAATAATAAAGAATAAAAATATAGAGGGCAGCGAAAGAAAGGGTAGAGAAAGAGCGGCAGCAGAGGAGGAGGAGGGCAAAAAGAAGAAGAGGAAGAATTCTGCCTCTCAGTCTATGCTCCTATCCTCTGACATACAAATTTATCGTCGACTACTACCACCTTCTTCCCTTCTCTTCATACCCAAAAGGAGTGTTCTTAGAATTTTTCAAAGCTAACAATTTTTAAGCAATGTTCTTGATCCCACCCCCATCCTATCTCTAACAGAATTTCATTTCACCTTCTTCCCCCACACCTTAATAACTCCCAAATCTCTATTTTTAGCTGGGACGTTTCTCTGGAACTTCAGCCCTGTATAGTGTACATGGGACACCTTATCGTCATTCCAGCAAAGTGGTGTTTCTCCTCCAGTACTCCCTCTTGCAGTAAATGGCATTACCACCCAGAAACTTCAGAAATATGTTTAGATTTCACCTTCTGTCAGTTTTCATAATCAACTAATTACTAATTCCTGTCAATTCTGCTTCCTTAACATTTCCTCTATGCCAAACACTACCACTACCCTCATTCCAACCGTCAGTCACCCTTCGTGGACAACTGTAATAGCTGCCTAACTGGTCCCTCTGCTCTAATCTCACCACCCTCTAGTGACCTGTCTTACTAGCACCCACGGAACTTTACTAAAACACAAGTCTGATCAAAGTCTCTTGCTTAGAGGCACCTGGGTGGCTCAGTCGGTTGAGCATCTGCCTTCGGCTCAGGTCATGATCCCAGGGTCCTGGGATCGAGCCCCACGTGGGGCTCCCTTCTCAGTGGGGAGTCTGCTTCTCCCTCTCCTCCCCACCTGTGCTCTCTCTCCCTATCTCTGTCTCTCTCTCAAATAAATAAATAAAATCTTAAAAAAAAAAAAAAAAGTCTCTCACTCAAAATTCTCAGTATTTCCAAATCACAAGACAAAATCTGAAAGTGGCTGCAGCACACAGAAGGCCCTTCCCAATCTAGCTGCTGCTCTCGGCCTCTCGCCCTACTCAGCTACTCCACTCTGGCCAAAAACAGAGCGCTTGTACTTTGACGACGATGCTGTTCCCTCTGCCTGCACATGCATCTGCAGTCAGCGCTGCAGTCTTACTCCACTATGTTACACTACACCTACCATGCCCTAGTAAGCCTTAAGTCACTAGACATGCCTGCTATCCCTGCCAGACATAACTTTCTTGAGGATAGAAACTGTGTCTCCTGATTTTGTTTTCAGGGCCTAATATAAAGCTTGCTATAACTCAAAAAAGAATTTAGAAGTAAATAAACTTAAGAAGTAAACAAATAAATCTATCTAAGTCTATATCTCTTAACAAAATATGTGGCATGACTAGCAGCAAATGAGACTGAAAGCGAAGTATGAATCCTAAAAATAACTATTAAAAATTACGTAGTTATAAAGCTTGGAACACTTTAGAGGATCTGGAAATCAGATAGTGAAAGATGGTTTGAGCTGGGTAAAAACTGTTTTGTTGTTTTTTTTTTTAAGATTTTATTTATTTATTCATAAGAGACAGAGAGAGAGAGGCAGGGGGAGAAGCAGGCTCCCCGCCAAGCAGGGAGCCCAATGTGGGGCTCAATTCCAGAGTCCCGGAATCATGACCTGAGATGAAGGTCAACTTTTAAAATTCAAGGAGAAAATAAAATTGCATTGAAGTGATATTTCAACGAATAAAAACTATCTTAGTTATGCAAGAGAAAAGGAGTAGGAGAGGAAAAAACCAATGTGAAAAGAAGGAAAGTGAGAGCCACACATGCAGGAGGAGCAAGAGAGGAACAACTACAAAGAAAAGGAACTGATGGAAAAGCGTAGCATCTGGAGCAGAAATGGCCAAAAGGAAAAGAAAAATGCTAACATTTCTCACCTGCTCTCAAATTCCCATCACCTCAAGTCCTTCTGAAGGCCTCATCTCTTCTTCTGTGTCAGTCCTTCATGTCATGCAAATGACTGCCAAACACATCACCTGGGAGTTACAGTCCCCACCCAAGCCCAAACCCCACAGCATTCTGAGTGCCTCTGCATAAAGACATCTCAGCACTTCTTCCCCCTCGCTTGTCACATGATCTCAGAGACTGTCCAGAAGTTTGACTTCCTCTGACATATTTATTAATAAATTGAAGAGTTCCTTGAAAAGTAACTCAAATTCATTTGCACCTACACAATTTCTTGTTTGCCCCGTGTTTACACCTAACCTGATACTTCTAACTACTTATAACTATGACATTTATTAACTCACTGAATCCTCACTACAACCCTGTGAGGTAGACGTTATCTCCATTTCATAGACAACAAAACTGAGGCACAAATAAGGCAAATAACTTTCCCAGCATCACAGAGCTAGTATTTTTAATGGTGAGTGTCTGAGCCCGGACAGTTTGACTCCACTGCCCAGGTTCTTAATCACTGTACTCTATTTCCTGACATGTCAGTACTTGATGGAGAACTCTCTACCTAGAGGAATGTACACGGAAAAGATGAGCTTGCTTGTTTTAAGTGTAGAGAAGGTACACCTAAGGATACTAGAGAGAAAGGGACTAAAGGAAGAAGAGTCCCAAGAGAAGGATATTTAAAGACGGTTGACTAAAAGGCTGAGGAAGTTCACAAAACCTCTCTTACTCTATGAAACAGGAAGCAAGTCATCCACTGAGCATAAGGTGAGAAGAATCTGACAGTAATGATTAAGGACAGTGGTGCACTTAGAAATAGCCACCATGAAATGCGCAACAAAAAAAAAAATCAGATCAGGAACATACTTTCTATCTTGGCTGCTATTTTCAAGTAGCACAATATTTGCATGACAGCTCCCCTGGGTGTGTATAAAAAAGTTTTCAAGGCATAGGTTTAAGGTATCCATTTAGTAAAAAAGCAATAGACCTGAATCATTTATGATAAAGGAAATCATTTTAAAATATCTATATTTAGAAAAAAGCAATATGCATAAATCATTTATGATAAAGGTACCCTTTTAAAAATATGTCTATATGTCTTTTGTTAGAAATACAAACTATACCTACTATATAGGAAAAAAAAACTATATATAAAATAACATTACAGTCTTGAAATATACTAATACTTAAATAGAAAGTTCCTTAAGAATAGCTTGTTCTACTACCATACGTATTTTTATAACACCAATTAGCTTACGTGTCTCTGAATGATATCAGAACAATGTAGAAGTCTTATTGCTTCATATGTAATTTTTTCATAGGGCAAGGGGAGCCAAAGTGGCAAGAGTACAATTATATCCTCAGGCAGAAAAGGCGAAAGTTCTCAGCTCAGCAGCTGCACAGCCAGGAGCTCTTCTAGTTCTAGTTCAAGAAAAATAAAAATGCATACCCGTACCTTGGGTTCCCTCCCCAGAAGGGAGCACCCCCAGCTTTCTATGGCTCTTGGCTTGTGGTAGTTTGCAGTTCTGCTTATGCCCACCTTAATGGCAGCCCACAGGCTCAGAGCTCCACTTCTATCTGCAATGGCTCAAGGCTTACAAACCACCATTTCCACTTTACTGCTTTTGTACATTATTAAAAGCCCCTGCATGTTCTGCATGGAGCACTGGGTGTTATGCACAAACAATGAATCATGGAACACTACATCTAAAATTAATGATGTAATGTATGGGGATTAACATAACAATAAAAAATTAAAAAAAAAAAAGCCCCTGATCTTTTTTCCTGAGCTGTCTAAGTACTCACCACTGAGTTACCAATTATTGACTTTGTTAGCACTCCAGTTATAAAGTTGCATAGTCTGGTCTGCCCCAAACCTGTTTTTACCCATATGCCCTGTTAAGTTTTAGTGCACAATTTTATAAAAAGCAAGGTATTTTAGAAATATAAATATTTGTACTATAGTTGAAACATCTGTAGGTTATCCATCCAAGTGGAACTTAGTGACTTACCTTTGGAAGCTTGATAGGGGGCTCTTTGGATTCCTCCTCTTCATCACTATCTGATTCTCCACTCTGCACAGAGTTCTTGGATGCAGCTGCCAACGATGTTTCCTTTTTCTGCCATTCCAGAACGCAATGGCGTACATTGCAATAAATATTGAATGCAGAAGGATTGCTATGTAGTTTAATATCTGGTATGATTACTGTATTCTCCAAGTTTTCAGACTGCAATATAAGATATAATATTTCAATTTCATATTCTTTTCCATCATCACCAATTCTCATTTCAAATAAAAAATTAAAGATTAGACATGCTAGATGACTTGCAGAAGTCAAATATGTGACACAGCAAAGATAATCTAAGTCTACCAACTCAACTTATAGTACGTACCCTTTCTTCCACACTTCACTACTTTCTAAGTAACACAGCAATAACCAAACTGATAAGGGCTGGAGAGTGGCAAAGAATCTAACAGGAATGCCCTTTTATCCCATGATAGGAATAGAGCCAACAAAGCTTAACTGTTGTAGTATCACAGAATATTAATTTGGTATTTTTCTAAGGGACATGAAATGTATTAGAGTCTCAATGACCTACTACAACTGTTGAATTACATTTTGATTTCTTTAAAAAGTAGATTTAGGGACTTAAACAGAAATCAGAACTAAAAAAACAAAACCAAACCCTTAATTTTAGTCAATTTTTCTAATTTCATTCTCATTTAAATAATGATAAAGTTAGGAAATTAGATTTCTGCAGATTATGGACATATGCTTTCCTGAAGCTCTCTCCTAGCTATCAGTCTTAATAAATACTAAAAATCACATGCTTGGTAATTTAATTGTTAAAACTAAATAGTCAATTTCTGTTTTGTCCCAGCATTTTATTCATCAGACCACAATCACACTTCTGAGATCAACACTTACATGATAAATATACAGAACTGGTTTAATGCAAGTTCCAAAAATTAGAGTATGTCCAGGAAGTACACCTCAAGTACCAAAAACACTGGTCTCAAAATTCTACCCTTCTTCCATTAATAATTGGGGAAAAAGGGGAATACTCGTTAGAAAAAATATACACCAAAGTTAATTGACAAATAACATGTAGGTATGCCTTCCAGAGATATTAAAAACAAGCAATTATTACCAATCCAAATCCAAGAACATATGAAAAAGATCTACCATCATGATCTACCAAAAAACCAGCTGGTAACAACACTGGAAAAGAAATCAGTATAATTCCCCATACCAGTAAAAAAATAGAAAAAAACATATGATATTCTAAATAAACATGGAAAAAGCATTTGACACAAATCAAACACTTATTCATGATAAAAAGTATAAGTAAACTAGGAATAAAAGAAAATTTCCAAAACTGGATAAAAGGCATCTATGAAATACTCATATCTAACATAGTAAAAGACTGAATGCCTGCACCCTAAGATGCAAACAAGGAAAAGATACCTATTCTCAGCAATACGATTCAACATTGTACTAGATATGCTAGTGTAATAAGCCAAGAAAAAGGATAGGGGCGCCTGGGTGGCTGTCGTTAAGCGGCTGCCTTCGGCTCAGGTCATGATCCCAGGGTCCTGGGACTGAGCCCCGCGTCCGGCTCCCTGCTCAGCAGGAAGCCTGCTTCTCCCTCTCCCACTCCCCCTGCTTGTGTTCCTGCTCTCGCTATCTCTATCTCTGTCAAATAAATAAATAAAATCTTAAAAAAAAAAAGGAATACAAGGTAAGTTAGAAAGGAAGAACTACCTACTAGAAAACAAATTTATTTGCGGAAGACATGTAGAGAATCAAAATATCTGCAAAAAAGCCACTAGAAATAATGTGTGGATTTAGCGAAGTCACAGCATACCAGATCATGTTTTAAAAAAGTTAAGGTATTTACATACTAAGATTGAACATTTGGAAAATATAATTTAGAAAAATAATAGCATTTAAGTTACAGACTGGGAGAAAATATTTGCATACCTGACAAAAGACTAGCATGCAGAATATATGAAGAATTTTCAAAACTCAACAGTAAAAAACAAACAAATAAGCAATTCAATTTAGAAAATGGGCAAAAGACATGAACAGGCATGTCACTGAAGAAGATATACAGAAGGCAAATAATAAGTTTACTATGGTGAGCCATTAGGAAAATGTAAATTAAAACAAAATAAGATATAAAACAAACTATCAGACTGGCTAGAATAAAAAATAATGACAACACCAAATGCTGGTGAAGATGTGGAGAAACTGGATCTCTTATACATTGTTAATGGTAATGTAAAATGATCCAGCCACTCTGGAAAAAAGTATGGCAGTTTCTTACAAAATTAAATATGCACCTTACAGTACAATCCAGCAACTGCACTGTTGGACATCAATACCAAAGAAAGTTCATTCAGGGGCGCCTGGGTGGCTCAGTTGGTTGAGCGACTGCCTTCGGCTCAGGTCATGATCCTGGAGTCCCTGGATCGAGTCCCGCATCGGGCTCCCTGCTCGGCAGGGAGTCTGCTTCTCCCTCTGACCCTCCCCCCTTTCATGTGCTCTCTCTCATTCTCTCTCTCTCAAATAAATAAATAAAATCTTTAAAAAAAAAAAAAAAAGAAAGTTCATTCAAAAACCAGCACATGAATATTCATACCAGTTTTATTCAAAATAACCAAAAAAGAGAAACAACTCAGATGTGCTTTAATGGGTGAATGCTACCTACTAGAAAACAAATTTATTTGCAGAAGACATGATATATCTTTACCATGGAATGCTTACTCCGCAATAAAAAGGTACAAACCAATGATATATGCAACAAATGAGATAAATCTCAAGGGAATTATGCTGTGTGGCAAAGGCCAATCCCCATGATTACATTTATATAACATTCTTGAAATGAAAAAATTACGGAAATGGAGAATAGATTGGTGAATGCCAGAGGCTAGGGAGAGGGTGAGTGTGGGGTAATGTCTGTGGCTATTTAAGAGTAGCAAAAAGGATCCTTGTGATAGAAGTCTTGTACATAATTGACTGCGGTAATGGTCCACAGATCCACACATGTGATAAAACTTCATAGAACTAAATATACATCCACATACAAACACAAATGTGTACGTGTAAAACTGGTGAAATCTGAGTAAGTTCAGTAGGTTGGATCAATATCGATTTCCTGGTTGTGATATTTACTACAGTAATGCAATACCTTAGTAATTGGAAAAAACAAGCGAAGGGTATACAGGATCTCTGTATTATTTCTTACAACTGCATTACTATGATCATCTCAGAATTTTTTAAAAAATTAAATAACAGCATTTATAATATCAAAAACACAAAATTACAGTTAAATTTAATAAAATTATGTGCAAGCTCTGTACACTGAAAACCAAAATAACACTGCTGAGAGAAATTAAGGAAAACTTAAAGAGAATAGAGGGGCGCCTGGGTGGCTCAGTCATTAAGCGTCTGCCTTCGGCTCAGGTCATGATCCCAGGGTCCTGGGATTGAGCCCTGCATCGAGCTCCCTGCTCCGCAGAAAGCCTGCTTCTCCCTCTCCCACTCCCCCTGCTTGTGTTCCCTCTCTCACTGTGTCTCTCTATGTCAAATAAATAAATAAAATCTTAAAAAAAAAAAAAAAAGAGAATAGAGATAAACCATGTTCATTGATTAGAAGATTTAATATCATTAAAATGGCAACTCTTCCTCAAATCTACAAATTCAATGAAGCCCCAATAAAAATTCTAGAGACTTTTAAAAATAGAATTGGCAAGCTGATTCTAAAATTTATATAGAAATGTAAAGGACCTAAAGTAACTAAAGCAATTTTTTTAAAAAGACCAAAGTTGGAAGACATTATGACCTGAATTCAAAACTACTGTAAAGAGGGCACCTGGGTGGCTCAGTTGGTTAAGCGACTGCCTTCAGCTCAGGTCATGATCCTGGAGTCCTGGGATCGAGTCCCGCATCGGGCTCCCCACTCGGCAGGAAGTCTGCTTCTCCCTCTGACCCTCCTCCCTCTCATGCTCTCTCTGTCTCATTCTTTCTCTCTCAAATAAATAAATAAATAAATCTTAAAAAAAAACAAAACACTACTGTAAAGAAAACAGTGTGGTATTGGTGTAAAGATAGATATATAGATCAATTAAACAAAAATAAATTCCAGAAATAGGCTCAAATGAATATGGTCAACTTATTTTTTATAAAGGTGCTAAGACAGTTCAACAGAAAAAGAGAAGTCTTTGTAAAAATAATGCCAATCAACTGAATACCAATATGAAAAAAGTGAACATGAACCTTTATTTCATACCATACACAAAACTTAACTCTAAATGTATCACAGGCCTAAGTATAGCAGGTAAAACTATAAAATCTCTAGAAGAAAATATAGAAAAAAATCTATGTGACCTTGGGGTAGACAAAGATTTCTTAGAACACAAAATACATGAATCATGTATGTAAGAAAATAATCAATTACATTTATGAAACTTAAAAACTTTTGTTCTTCTAAAGCACTATACAAAAACAATAAAGCAAGCCATAGAACAGGAAGAATTATTTGTAATACAGGTATCTGACAAAGGACTTGTATCTAGAGTACATAAAGAACTCTGACAATTCAGTAATAAGACAATTATAAAAAGGTAAGGCAAGATAGGAAAGACATTTCACAATAAAAAGATATGAATAGCCAAAGGCACATGAAAGGATGTTTACATCATTAGTCACTAGAGAAAACCAAGCGAAAACCACAGTGAAATACCCCTATGTATTTAGAATGACTAAAATTTTAAATGCTAACGATACCATGTGTTTGCAAAGATGTAAGGCAACTGGATTTCTCATACACTACTGGTGGAACAGTAAAATGCAATAATTACACTCTGGAAAATAGTCTGAATAGTTTTTTAACAGTTAAACATTCATCTACCATGCCACCCATGAGGAAAGAGTTAACAATGCAGGTTTGACTGCTTATTCCTTGCATTTCCCCAAGGGAACCAGGACTGACTGTGGGCCAATCCTTAGGAATATGGTCTTTAGACTTTTCACTGTGTTAGTTACTGATGGTTCTGTAAAATACACCCAGAGCAATGGACCATGCCTACTGGCTTGTTCAATAGCTTTGTACAAACATCGAGACTGATGATGTGCACCTGAGTTTCACGTACCATGGCTGGTTGCAAAGCAGGACAAGTCTATGTGTGACAAAACCCCCCATAAAAGTCTCATAGCCTAAGACTCAAGTGGGCTTTCCTGGACAGAAATATTCCATACATATCCTTGTAGTTCACTGCCAGCAAGAAAGCATGTCCTGTGTGCTCAGACAAGGAAGGACTAGAAAGCCTATGCCATAACTCCCTAGACACCACTAATACTATTCATTTCTCTTTCCTGCTGCCTATTCTGTACCTTTGGCTGTAATAAATCTTAGCCATTAGTGTAAGTTGCTTTTGAGACTTATCAGTCTTCTGGCAAATCATGGAAGGAAACAGCACCTACTCATTCCACTTCTAGGTGTTTATCCTTCCAAAAAACAAAAACATATATCCACGCAAAGACTAATACACAAATATTCAGAGCAGCTTCATTTGTGATAGCCAAAAACTGGAAACATCACAATGTCTATCAACAGGTAAATGGGTTAACAAATTAAGATATATCTAAATAATTGGATACTCATCAGCAAAAAAAATAGAACTGTTAATATATACAACTATATGGACACAACTCAAAATCATGCTGAGGGAACGAAGCCAGATACAGAAGAGTACACACTGCATGATCACATTTATATGAAATTCTAGAAAATAAAAACTAATTTATAATGACAGAAAGTACATCTGTGGTTGCCTAGAGCCATAGCAGTAGGGAGAGATGGAATGCAGCAAAGGATGAGGAAAATGCTTGAGACTGATGGAAATTTTCTAAACCTTGATGATATCTTTCAAAACTCTGCTATTAAATATCCTAACCTAAGACCCAGGCATGTTTAATAGCAGGATGCTGAAGAAGTTTCCTTTTTTTTTTTAAAGATTGTGCTTTCTACTCTGAATAAGAAGGAAATTGAATGAAGGAGATGGCTAATGGATGAGAAGAAATAGAGGGGCCAATGACAGCAATAAACAAGGAAATAAAAGTGGTATAGCTAAATGGTATCTTATTTCATTTGCTGAAAAGAAATGCTCGTTCTTAAATATATGGGGGAAAAAAAGCTCACTGGCATTTTTAAAATAACTTTTTTTAAAAAGATGAATGAAAAATAGTCCAGAAACAGTAAAAGAGGGCAGGGAGAATAACAACACTATTTTATTATTTTATATGCCCATCATAAGCAGAAACCATTTCTTACTCATCTTTCTATTCCAAATACCCAGCATAAGGCCTGCACATGGTCAGTATGCAATTAATGTTTTAGGAAAAAATGAGTAACTTTTTTTGTATCACTCTTATCACAAGGTGCTCTTAAAAAGCAGATATAAAACCTGAGGCCAAGAGAAGAAAGATGAATTACTAAAGGCACAAAGTTAGAGACAGAATTGAAGGGGATGAAAGACCTTGAATTCCCACCTCTTCCTCGATATCATATACCCCCACTTTTAGGAACATCACTAAATGAAACCTTAAAAGAACTTAAAAAAGATTTTCAAGATTCCCATACTCTGACTTTGCACATAACACCAAAAAGTGGAAAAGGGGTAGAGGCTGAAAATCCAAATGACTATATAACAAGTATATTAAGAATGTTCTCCATTTCCCTCTTTTATCCCAAAAGCAGAAGTAGTAAGTAATAAGAAATGATATAGTGAACATAAATCATTTACCTGCCCACCCAGCAACATTTTCCGTAGGGTAACTACCCCCTCCCATTTCACATGGCCTGCTTATTAGGATGCTCACCTATCACCTATCACAGGGTTATAAACATAACTCAGTCTAACCAATCAAAGTACTCCATCTCCAAGGCCAAAGTGAATGATGAAGGTCAATCAAAAATCATACCCAAGACTTTCTGCTAGAACTAATAAAGGAGATGGCCCCTCACTCAAAGAAAATGAAGTTGGAGCCCCCAGCAGCCTTTGTCCTCAGCCACAGGTAATAAACCCACAGAAGAAAGCAGAAGCAAGTGATGAAGACACAGATTTGCTGACATTACTGATGGATCCAGCTGTGTCTCAAGATAGTGCCATGAAATAAATTTCATCCCCTATACTTTTATTTCATTTTTTGGTTTACTACTTTAAAGTACATTTCTCTCAGTTACAAAATGGCAAGAACATTAATTAAAAAGGGCAGGAAACAATTGTCTTTAGAACTTAAATACGACATACAGGCCAAGCTAAACTATTGTTTCTTTAACCAAAAGTAGAGTTGTGCAGAAATCATAGTTATGACTCCCCTCTTTCTCCTGTCTAGGCTTCTTAGTACTGTTTGAAAGAAAAGACTCTTCGGTAGAAAGTGAAATGTTTAAGATTTAATAGAAAAGATTTCCGTTTTAGATGGGAAAAAAACATCCTTGCTCTCTATGATCTCATCTAATTCAAATATTCCATATTGCCTTTTCTTTTGCACAGCCACCCATCACCAAAAGAAGCTCAGAACAATATAGATACACCAAGATTCTCCCTAACTCATGACATATGCATAGGCCAAAACCAAGTCCCAATTAACAAGCCAATTTACTCAGTTTCTAGAACATGTAGTTAGAGTGGAAAAAAGAGAAGAGAAATGGATGTGTTCCCCCAAAGAACTGATCAAAGATAACATGAATAAATAGTAAATAATTTTCAGCACCCAGATATTAACTTCCAGGCTAGTGGTCATGAAATGCTCCAAAGATGAAACTAAATAGTATAACCAAGTAATAAGGGGCTTTTTAAAAATTAAAATAAAAAAAATAGAAATGAAATGGTTTGCTAGTTATACCTTTTTAATCTTGGCATTTTTATTCCAATTACTATATGAAAAAGTCCTTACTCCCTATAAATTGTCAGCAGTTTTACCTTGCTTCTTGTCTTCACTTTTGATTTGCTCTTCTGTTTTCTTTTCAACTTCTTCTTATTTAAAATTTTCTTATTCCTAAAAGTGGAAAAAAAGAATTATGAAAGTTCATTATTAGGGCATACAAAGCTATGAAAAATAGGTGCTTCCAAAGTAGATATCTGAATATTTCTCCTACAAACTTTCTATGAAACAATATACTCTAGATGCACATATAAGATACTAACCCACAATGTAGCTATTGAGATAATAACACAACACTGGAATGCTAAGAAATATACATTAAATGATCAAAAAATTGAATTTTGCAACTATTTTTATAAAATCAAAAAAGGTTAATGGCATCAAATGAAGTTTTTAAAATTTTATTCAACAGTGGGGATGCTAATAAATATCAGGTATATTCCCTTCCCAGAAAAATCTACTCTTCGTAGTTGTAAGGGCTACAGTGTAAAAAGGGATAGGAGGCAATTTTTACTAAACTACTACAGAAAAAACCCCAACTCATACTCTTCTCATATCCTGCAGCCAGTTTTTCATAACCTCAGGGGCCTAAGACCAAATTATTCTTGAAGCAGAAGGACACTCCTGAATGACTTTGAGAAAGAGAGGGGAAAAATGTGGAAAAGAATTAAGAATTATAGTGGAAGAAACAAGAGTCAGGGAAAACAATGTATTTTATTTAATATTTTTGTATGTCTCTAATACTGAGGTACACATGGGTACTAAAAATACAAGATGAAAAAGACCATTCTTGCCCTCAAGGAGCTCAAAGACTTGAATGATCTAGCAAGAGGATACTACTGAGGAGGAGGAAGAGGAGAGGGAGGGGAAGAAAAGAAAAGAGGAAGAGGAGGAGGGGAAGGAAGAGACTCTACATGCTAGAGGTCAAGTCCTTAACACTTGGTAACTAATTTAGTGTAAGTTGTGACCAAAACAAAAGTTGTACACCTAGGCCACCTGGAGGTAGGGATGTCATTCACAAAAATAGGGAAGTCAAGGGGAAGAATTAGTTTCCAAAAGGAAAAAACAGGTTCTATTTTTTCTATTTATTTTTAATTTTTTTAAAGATTTTATTAATTTATTTAGAGTGAGAGAGAACAAGAGAGAGCAGATAGAGAGGGAGAAGCAGACTCCCTGCCGAGCAGGGAGCTCAACTCAGGGCTCGATCCCAGGACCCTGAGGTCATGACCTGAGCCGAAGGCAGATGCTTAACCAAATGAGCCACCCAGGTGCCCCTATTTTTTTTATTTTTTTTTAGAGGGAGAAGGGACAAAGGGAGACAGAGCATCTTAAGCAGGCTCCATGCCCAGCATGGAGCCCGATGCGGGGCTCCAACTCACAATCCTGAGATCGCGACCTGAGCCGAAATTAAGAGTTGGTTGCTTAACCGACTTACCCACCCAGGTCCCCCAGTTCAATTTTAAAGATGTTTAAGTTCAAGATACTAAAATGTCACCAAAATAGACATGAACAAGCATATGAAAATTTATCTTTGACATCCCTTCAGCTTTACTCCCTAAACCAAAATAATCACAAAATCTTGTCAATTATGTTTTGTAAATAGTTCTTGAATCTGTCTACATCTCTATTGCTGCAATTCTAATAATCTAAGGTACCACCACCTCTTGCTTGGTCTACTGCAAAAGCTTTTTAACTCATTTCTGTACATCCAAGTTTGACCCACTTCAATCCATTCCTCACACAGGAACCCAAGTCAACTTTTAAAAACACAAATCTGAAGGGGCACCTGGGTGGCTCAGTTGGTTGAGCATCTGACTCTTGATTTCAGCTCAGGTCATGATCTTGCACTTGTGAGATACAGCCCCACATGGGGCTATGGGTTGAGCCTCACGTCTGCTTGGGAGTCCCTCTGACCCTCCCCCAGCTCACATGTGCTCATCTGCATGTGTGCTTTCTCAAATAAATAAAATCTTTAAAAAAATAGAAATAGAAACACAAATCTGAGTAGGTAATTACCCCACTTAAAACCCTACTGACATCTTCTTAATTCTCTTGGGTTAGAGTCCAAAAGCATTGGCATGGCTTAAAAGATCTTCTACCCAGGGGATGCGGAGAAAGGGGAACCCTCCTACACTGTTGGTGGGAATGCAAGCTGGTGCAGCCACTCTGGAAAACTGTATGGAGGTTCCTCAAAAAG